AAGATTTTAATTATACGTACAATGGAAGTGACTATACCGTACCTCGGTGACGCTGTGCGCCCATCTTACAATAATATTCTTAGATCCCAGATTCAAGTTGTGTAAAGCATCTTTCGCCCTCTTGGCATCCTGGACAGTTTTGTAGGTAACAAACGCATATCCCCTGGGGTGACCAGCTTGAGGTCCCGACCGATGAAACAACAGGTCGAACTTTTCGATTGTGCCGTATTTTTGGACAAGTTTCAGGAGTTGGTACCGGTTGACAAAAAGAGCGTTAGTTTTTCCTTTCAAATCTTTCTCCTGACGCAAGGCACTTTCCACGCGTCAATGCTCGCCGGGAAAGGCCTTGCGGTGAAGCCTTTCTTAAAAGACACATTACAATCATGTAAATACTTACTCGTTAATTCTTAAATCTAAATTGCCCACCCATAGACGTCTGTCTTCAACCTGGTTCGACTTTATGGGTTCTAACGGCAGAGGAACTTTAGTGTCCGGCTGTAAACAGAACGACGCAATTTAATCGAGGGACGAGCGAGTAGCTTAAAATACTTTGAAAACATCAATTTAGAAACTGAAGACAACTTCGATCAACATCATCGGCATTCAATCGAGGTCACTTGCAGCAAGATCTCCAACGATACTTTTCACATGCCAAACAACGGGAAACAAATGAATCTATCCGCGTCAACGAAATGCTATTTCCAGTCGATCAAATTACTCCGAGTTTGAAAGCTGAGCTCGAGTGTCGAACTCAGCTGTTGCCGCAGTCGCAGCGGTCGTTTATAAATTGCGCTGCGTTCAACAGAAAAAAGCTGCTTTGCGGCTGTTATAAAATTCGTAAATCTGATCGGTGTAATTCCTGGGCTGAATTTAAGATTTGCGAATTTTGCAACGGCCGCAAGGCAGCTTCCCAGGTAGCCAAATGGCAACTACAAATTCTGAAGGCAGAAAGACTGCAGGGATTGATACACTCGACATGTTGCCAGCACGTCGGTAGAAATACAGCAAAATCTGCTCACGCAACTGGACCTGCTGACAATCTGTTGACAGCGTATGTTTTACGGACTCCGTCGCCAAAACGAGAGCCAAATGCGGACACAGATGGCTATGATTTTGGTGTGGATTTCTGACAAATCTGCTAACATTTTGCTGACTGGGTTTTCCGGCTGAACGCAGAAATTGACTCTTCTCCATCAGCCTAGCCAAGCTCTCACCTCCATTCCAAGCGAGGGGGGAGACGCGCTCGAGTCAGTCGAATCAACACCGAGGAACCCCGGCGGTCGGCGAGCGTTGCATCAGTCTTCTCGAGGGGAAAGAGTCCTGGATTCGTTTGGCGAAACCTTACGGAGGAAGGAAACGAGCTCTCACGGCTACATTCGCGGGGGGGAGGAAGACTCGTCGTGTCCAAGAGGCGAGAGCTCGCCGTCACATCAGAGGACGAAGATGCGCGACGAGCCGGCCGTTTCGCGGCTACCTCGCATTCCACGGCAACGATCGTGAATCCCACGGTACTGATCCTCTCCCCTGCCCACCCCTGCCGTCGCACGCCGCGAGCGAGACGCTATCGATCGTAAATCGCGCACGGAGCAACGCAGAGGCGTCCATCGAGGGACTCGCCGCGCGCCCTCCCGCCATGTTGCGACGAAAACGGGAAGCGGGTGAGGAAAGTTACGGACGGTAACGTCGGTAACTTTCTTCGCGTGCGGCGGGAGAGGGGATCAATCTCCCCGTTGCTCCTGTCGACAGCTGACGCAGGATGATCGTCAAAACCGTCTGAATTGATAAAGAAAGAGAATGGGCGACTTTCTGGCGGCAAATAATGTTTGCGGGCAAAACCTGCTGCGGCTGGTGTCCCGCGGGAATGCCATCATAGCCGAACTAATGCGACTGAAGGACTACGTACCGCCGGTCTTTAGGTCAGTTTGTTTGGGCGAGAGAGATGCCTCGTTGATTGAATAATCGACAGGACGAATGTTTTTCTATTACGCGGATCGCAATGTACCGCGAAACCTGTTGTATGATAATATAAATACGTTATGCGAACGCAAACGCAAAGTTCAAGTAGAGCTTTACTGTTGTGTGGGAATTACAATGGTATGCGTAGTATTTGACAATTGCCGTCTTATTATTGCAGCTTGGATTCGAAGCAAGTGATGCAGAAGTACGGATCGATCATAATCGACTTTGCATACTTCAAGGCAGCCAGTGTTTACGAGCAAAAGATAGAGGATGACTCGGTAAATAGCGGTGTTCACCGCCGCAAGTTTTCTGAGAATTGCATTATCGTTGGAAACGCATGAACTTACCCGTTGTACTTTCTCCAGACGCTCCAAGAAACCGACGAGGAGCTCCGGAATAACTTTTCAGACATACTCACGAGGTTCTACTTAGCTTTCGAGAGTATACACAAGTATGTCACGGATCTGAGCTTTTACATCGATGAGTTGGGGGATGGAGTTTACATACACCAGTCGGTGGACTCTATTATGTTCAACGAGGAAGGGAAACAATTAATGGTATATCTCCCTCTTTCTTCCAAATGTGCCCCCCCCCCCCACCCCCCAGAACTTTGCTGGAGAATTGGATTCAAATTGAATGTAGAGAAGAGTCTTCTATTAATATGAGATAGCAGGGTTTCTGCTAAATTAATAGGCGTCGTCTGTTGATTCCACTATGAATGTTGATTGGAGTGAAGTCTGTTTAGTGGAAAATTGCTTGATCGTGTAATCGTTGCGAAAAAAACAAATTGTGATGGAGTTTGGACGTTGAAAACCTACTATCTCATAAAGGACTTTTCTCTCTACTAATATATTAAATGTATACTTGAATTTAAATAACGCAACTAAACTTTTGTATAGTGCGAAGCCGTGTACTTGTACGGCGTAATGCTATTGCTGGTCGATTATCACTTTGAAGGGAGAATACGCGAAAGGTTACTGGTATCCTACTATCGATACAACGCCCAGCGGTCTTCCTCGACGAGGGTGGATGACGTTTGTATGCTGCTCCGTTCAACGGGATACGTGAGGACGTTGTCCAAGAGACCAGCTAATTATCCGGAAGAATATTTCAAGTGTGTAATATAGTCTGAACATAGGAAAAAGGGTAATGTAATTCATTGGCTGAAAGTACAGCTAAAGTATAATAAAAATATATATTTGTTTTTAGGAGAGTACCTTTACGAGATTTTTTGGTGGATCTCGTTGTTGGTCGGCTGCGTTCGGACGAGATTTACAATCAAACTCTTGCTTTTCCGCATCCGGAGCATCGTAGCACCGCTGTCGCCACGCAAGCATCAATGTTAGTCGTAATTTTGTCGTTTAAACCAACTGTATTGCATACACAAACTGCCATTATGCGGGAGATAGTAGACAGATTCTTTCCCGACAATTGGGTAATCAGTATTTATATGGGGACAGTGATCAATCTGTGTGACTGGTGGTCACCGTATAAAGCTGCGCGAACGGCATTGAATAATACCCTTGAGAATTCAAATGTGAAAGGAATTGCGCAAAAGTACGGAGCAAAAATGGACGTGGGTAAAAGTTTGGGAAATTTTTCACAGAGTTTCTTTTATGCAAAACTGCAATTTGGTGCAAAAAACATTTCAGAAATTAACGCAAGAGACCGAAGAGGTGCAACTGGCGGGCGCAATGGACGAGAACGCAACAGGTTCTTTAGTCAAATTAGTGAGAGAATGCAACGTAACGTTACATTGGATTCTTCTGCACACCGCTACGCCCACCATAACGTTGGAGGATTCAAAACGTTCGCGTAGTCTACGTCAATTAGTCGTGATGGAAAGCAAATATACCACAGTAAAGTGTCTACGCTTGTTGCTGAGCACCGCTCAAATCGAACAGGATGTTAAACAGATGTATAAAGATGTACGTTTAAAATCATTCGTCATTCTCGTTACGATGTCTACATGGATTAAGATACACTTTTGTACATTAGCTCCTGCTCGGAAAAGAAGCCAAATGGTTGAAAGACAAAGGGATATGTGTTGAACGTATAACTGATCTTGCACAAATCTTTGGAGGCGCCAAATCTCTAGATGGTATTGATAAGAACCAGAACCTTTATACGTGGTTCATGGAAATAAGTAAGCACATTGACTCGTTGAAGCAAGAAGATGGGCGGAAGATAGTACAGTTACTGCAAGCGCTGGAACAAGTTCAGGGTAAAGAAACGTGAATCGACAGATATTTATTATGTTTAAAGATATAAATTTATACAAACATTTGTACTATGCTATCGATATCTTGTGTTTCTTCCCTCAGAATTTCATCAATTGGAAAATAATCTACACATTTCACAATATCTCGCCGACACACGTGAGACTCTACACAATATGTTGCGTACGGGCAGTATATCTGAAGATATCATGATAAGTTTGAATATCGTGACCGATTGCTGCTACGCGTGGAATATTATGGAATCTTTTATCGACGTAATGCAGGCGAGCATAAAGGAAAATCCGCCGACCGTCATCAAACTGAAGGCTCTTTTCCTTAAAGTAAATACGCGTGTACAATTAAAAATTATATGACACGCATTACATATTTCACACGTTATATTTTTTTTAGATGGCGTCGGCATTGGAGACTCCATTGCTGAGAGTGAACCAAGCACGAAGCGCGGACTTGTCTTCGGTGTCGCAATATTATAGTAGAGAATTAGAAGGATACGCCAGGCGCGTTTTGCAAATTATACCTGAAACTGTGTTCGGTTTATTAGCGGAGATAGTGCACCTTGAAACGAATTCATTTAAAGAGATCCCGACTAAATTGCCCAAAGATAAACTTAAAGATTATGCGCAACTGGCCGAGAGATTACAGGTACTTTCGCGAAGAATTCTTGTTACGAGTTGCGCTTATTAAACAGAAAACTAATATTTTTACAGATGGCGAAGCTAACATATGCCGTGTCGGTCTTTACAAAGGGCGTTTTGTCGCTGCGAAGCGTTTCTCTAGGAGTTTTAAGGGTCGATTCACATCGTCTCTTAGAGGACGGTATACGTCAGGAGCTTGTCAAGAAAGTTACCTTGGCTTTACAGAACGGCCTCAATTTTGATCAGAAGTCCAAGGTAAATTCTGATGAATGAGAGACTCCTTTACTCCCTAAAATTATATGCCTCAAAATTATTGTATACATTTCCCTAGACATCGCTTCTACAAAAACTGAGTAATTTATCTTCAATTATGGACGGATACAGAAAATCTTTCCAATACATTCAAGATTACATCAACATAAACAGTTTGAAGATATGGCATGAAGAAGTAAGAATTGTATAATTTCGATACGAGCACAAAAATATTCTCTTACGCGCGTACATTCTATTCTAAATGTTTCTGTCCTTAGATTACATATATTATAAACAACGCGGTCGAGGAAGAACGCAGGGGCTGGTCCTGGCTACCAGGAAAATCGTGGAGACAATTCCAAGAGGATAAGCACGTATTTTCAACGGACAATAATTCCTTGACATTCATGGGCAGACTTGCCAAAGAACTTATTCGTATTACTGATCCCCGGTAGGACGTTATCTCGAGTTTGATCTTACGAAATAAATTGTACGGCATTGCTAATTCACTTGCTCTCTTTTAGAACTACCGTGTACATAGAACATTCCCTAGCGTGGTATGATGTTAAGTCGCAGAATGAGGTCTTGAATTACAAAGTTTTCTCGATGATACTAGAAACGATAGGCACGCCGGGATTGTCGGGGCTGGACAAGCTCATCTCTTTCTACATTGTCATGGAACTGGAGACTTTGGTTCACTATATAGAAAAAAGCATACGGAACAAAATGTGGACATCACTGTTAGAAGATTGCGAGAGCACTTTAAATTCTTTGGACAGTGCTAAAGGTAAGAGAGCTCCAGGCGCATTAGAAAAGTACATGCAATAAAAGTGAGGATAATTAACATGTGCTAAGATATTGGACGCGTATGCCTCAGGTAACATTACAAAGCTTCACAACTGCATAAGCGCTAGCAGCAGCAAACTGTGGTCATCGGCGCTCGAGTGGACGTTGAAAATAGGCCACTATCAATTACTCAGGAAAAAAATAGCGTACGAGCTTAACACCGCGTGCAAATTTGAAGCGAAGCACATGGAAGCGGCGCTTCGTACATTAAACACGTACGTGGAAACGTTATTTAGTTTCGCGATTCCTCTCGTCTGACTTCTTTCACTTTTTAGGGCTATTTTATGCGAGATAGCGAAAAAAGATAGCAATAATGAAACTGAGAAAACGGAGAAGAGCGAATTGCTTCATGAACTTAGCGTGCGATTGGACTGGGCCGGCATCAGCGATCCGCATAACAAAGTTTACATTAAGACACCAAAGATAGATAATATAGCTATTATCATTTTCTTATTCACAGCGTCGCAGTTAAATAAATTATTCTACTGCAAAAATACAGGTGCAATTATATGACATGTACAATATATATTTTTATAGTCTGTAATCAGATCAAGTGTAAGAGATATTTTACATATTTGTTACAGCAAGTCTGTTGAGCAAGAGGTATCAGGACCCCGTAGACGCTGTGGTCTTTGCCATAGGAATACAAACGATTCTCCGTCAATTTCACGTTTCTGTGATGAATCGTTACGTGAAATATCTTTGCATGTATGTCCTGTCGTTCATCACTGTGGAGAGGTAGAGACGGTTTTGTTATCCTAATTGTCACGATAATACAACATCGCTTGAGGTATTAACTAATGAGAATATTTCTACTGTTTTAGTATGAAAGCGGGAGGTGATGCAGAAACTGAAGGAGCTACTAATCTTCACTTCTTGGAGCTTTTTGTGAAATATTCAGGCATTCCACGCTCTCTCATTCTTAAAGAAATACCTGTCGTCGTTTTAGATCATTCCCTAGTCAAACTGACAAAGTGATGTGTTTGAAGTACGTGAAATAACATTACATATTGTAAATGATCATATATTAGTACATTATAAAAACGTGCGTGTGTATATATATATATATATATATATACACATACATATATATTTTGTATAAATAAAAATAAGAGGATAAAGAGGATTTTCAATGGACATTTATACCTCTTTATTTCTACATCTTCTACCTTGTAGAAAAATTCCTTGTACTCGTAATTTGAAAGTTCAGCCACTCAGGAAATTACTACTTGCGCAATTTAATTACGCCTCTGCTTTTTTAATTTCTTATCAGCCAGATCTAACGTTCGCAGAAAAAAAAAACCGTGTACGACGAATGTAGCCTACAGTGTAAATTACGTAAAAGCGTGGGCGTGGCATCGTCATCACGAAGAGTGTCCCCGTGAGAGACGGATCGTCGTGTACTGCAGAGAAATTTCGCATACGCATCGGCGGCTAGACGACGCACATACGGCGGCGGCGACGGCGACGGCGGCGGCGGCGGTTCCGGCGTCTCTCCTTGCATCTCCGTCGGCTCGCGCGTGTCTTCGTAGGTACTTTCGCCGGCGATTGGAGCCATTTCATCGGCAGAGATTTCAATGCGACGATAAAACGACGATTTGCCGGACGCATTAATGAAATTAACGGGAAAGCATGATCGCCGGCGGCGTCGACGGCGGCCACGACGGCGTCGCCGGCGGCCGCGACGCCGACGTCGGCGGCTTCGTACAAAGTGACGCGGAATTGTTCGCGGAGCCCAGTTCTTCCTCAGGCACGCACGAATCAAGTCGACGTTCTTCTTATCCGGGATCATCGAGAATCTGGTGCCGATACGTGTACAGCGCGTATCACTAAAATTTAAACTTTGATCTCGACTCTCACCCGCGGGAAGAGATCAAGATCGGAGAAATGTCGATTTAACGTATACAGACGATTCTCACCGCGAATGCGACCAAAAAATTTTACGGTCATTACGCAATTTGTTAAATTAAATTCTAATTGAATCCGGTAAACTATTCTACGAGAAAAGATCTCTAAATCGATTTAAATTATTATTTTTTTTGTAAAAGAATCACGTTGAAAAGTCCGCGACACAAGAGTTTCGTAATGAAACTTAAATACTCTCCGACATGGAGATCATTTGAAGATTCTTTTCTATTTTTACTTAACCGGTGCAATCTGTTATTAGTAATCTAGTTTCTCTTTGTTATTAGTAATCTAATATTCAGTGCTTTTGTTTCTATGTAACGGAACGATCCAAGCGCGAAAGCAGAAGTTGTCATCTCACTTTTACCAATTTTGGTAACTTTAGGCAAATCGAAAATAAAATCCAAATGTCATGCATATGTTAATAATCGATTGCTGTCGTATCGCAGTAAGTATAAATTATCATTAAGATTATCTGCGCAATGATGTCTGTGCGGATCAATACACGATGTTCCGACATTCTGGCAAGACCTCGTAAGAAATTCGTACTCTGTGGAAGTGAAGATATGTGTCGCTTGATCATTAATTAAGGATGAATGCAAAGCTCGCGCAAAGAGAATTTGCCCTTTGCAACATTGTAACGCACGTAATTATGCATTATCGCGTTCGATATTTCTCTTTCTTTTTGCGTCAGGAAATCATGCGTATGGTAGCGATAGTGTTGGTGATCGTCGCGGGGTCCTTCGTCGTAGCGACCGTAGCGGCGTCCAAGGATCGCAATTATCCCCATTTCTTTAAGCACCGGACGAGGCTGAGGGAGATCCGCGGTTTCAAACCAGAGTACATCTCCACGGCGATTGGATTCGGGAAGAGGGACAATCCGGCGGATGCCCCGGATCTCAGCGGGCGCGAGAGAGACCTGTTGTCGTCTCTGAGGAACCTCCCGCGTGTGTAAGTATCTCGAGTGGCTCTGGGAAGTAATAAAGTAAATCAAAGTAAAAGATCGAATTGGAACCGTCTTGCGTGGAATTAAATTATGAGGAAATTCTCGTGTATCTTTGCTATAAACGACTTTGGGCGACTATGATGCAGAACTCATTGGAGAGATTTTATGATTACTTCTGACCAGGGTTGAGAAATTTACTTGTAACTGAGTTAAGTTACAGTTACCAAAAAAAGTAACTGTAACCGTAACTTCGTTAAAAGCAATGAGTTACTTCCCAACGCTGCCTCTGATTTGGATTAAGTTACGATTGACTCAATCGTAACAAAATCAACGATTAGAGTCTGCAAGATTGTCAGAACAATATAAAATTATTTATAGTCGCTCGAAAGAGAGATTAGATTAGAGATCGCGTAACTAGAAATCTTGCTGCGAGCGATCGCAATCGCTTGATTAAGTTAATCGGGGCACGGTCCGCCGACTGTCCTGTCGCGGCATCAAAATCGCAGGAAATTTCACCGGGCGTGAAATGTTAACTTGATTGCAGCGTGTCCACGGACGCGCTACTCCGGATGATGCAGACGAATCCCGCGTTGGCTGGCAAACTGACGCGGCTCTCGATGCAAAGCGACCAGGGCGATCAGGAGGAACCGATGACGGAACCCTCGAGGCCCGGGAGGACGTTCGAGCTGTTTTAAAGTCCCTGCGATCGAGACGCGAACGGCGAGTTTTCGGAGGGACGCCCATCTTAGAGTCTCAGACGAAACGTTCGATATTACCCTGGAAGCATATGCGTTGTTCTTATTACATTTCTCGAGTCTTCGCGCGAGTATCGTGTAGATGCTTATTATTCTTGCCTCCCTCGTATTGTTTCTCCGCGATGAAGGTGCGCGTAGGAACGGTTAGGAGGAGGGACGTCTTTCCTTTTTCTTTCACCCGACAGTCGATCGATATACGATTAAACTTTGTCCTAGAATGATGTCCAATATACGTTTATATCAATAGATGAATTGTATAATTGACTGTTTCTCTCCTTTGTTTTCAACGTTGAAGAATATATGTGTGTAAAATTGAGGAAAGTAGATGGGAAAAATAAATGCACATTCTCCTCTTTAGAATTGCCCTCGCTTCTGCTCTCTTGACCACCTTCCATGTGGTTGCGATTAACGTCTGTAGAAACAATTTATTTTGCATTGTAATTTACTTTCTTACATCATGTTACAGTTATAATTTAAATTATAATATGCGATTGTCCGTTTCATTGCAGTGCATGTATAATTTCGTATTGAAATCATGTGTCAGTTATAGCTCAATGTGGATACAGATATGGTTTTATTATGCACAATCCTATGGGATTCTGATCAAATCTGCTGAAAGTTGCATGAAGGTAATCTTGAATTTCTTAAATGAAACCTGCGCTTTTTATTATATCATCTTTTTCTATTAATTAATCGGAACAACTTTTGTCCGAAACATGTTTTATTTGTCTGATATTTTTTTAAATATATATTCAAAGAAGACTCGGCAACTAATCTTCACACGATATCTCGATAGCTGTTTATCGTGAGCAAAAATGATACAGGACTTTTTGGACTTGATTTGCTGGCAAGAATATGCTGTTGCAATAGTACTCCAACTTCGGTAAACATTTTTGTACCACAAACCGCATAACTTTTGTCTCAAACATTTGTTTCTAAAATGCATAGTTTTCGAAAAACTTAGGGGTCTCCATAAAGTTTGTCTCGCCCCGTGTTTTTACAACGTTGCGCAATAAGCTTTTGTCAACGTAGCACGGAACAGAACCAAGCAGTCGGCAACTTGGAGCGCAACCGCGCTGTTAACCGCCGAAGGTAACCGAGAGGGCGCGACAATCGAACGCGAGAGGGCCCATCTGTCGCCGTCTCGTCGCACTAACACCTCCCGGCTTCACTCCGGTTCTTCCGGTGCTCGCCCGTGCACGTTTCGCTTTCGTTTCAGCGGGGTCCACGTTTCGTGTCGTAAGACTTAAAGGTACGTGTGCATCCGAATCACGCTTCTACGGGGAATAATATTCCACGTTTCGAGTCGCCCGGGATGTCTGCGGTTCGCGGTGATCGACGCTCCCGCCCGATCGCACTTAGCAATTCTATTATCGCCGGATTCCGCGTGCCGCGTTCGAGAGCGTCCGAGACGCGAGGTCCGCGAACAATACTGCTTCTCGATGATCCGCGACCCGTAAATCCCGTAATGCCTGCTGTGCCGCGAACGCGTAGAACGAATACAATTGCAAAGGCGGGACGGGAGTCGAGGCGCGAAATTCTCGCGCCAGGTGTAACAGGTTATGGCACGGATATCTGGACCCCCGAGATCGCTCGTCACGCTCCGAACACGCGAACGATGTTTATAGTTTTTATGCAAACCGCAGGCGTGTCACGCGTGCACGTTTATAGCTTTCTATTTCATGATGACCAAACCATCTTTCGACTGAGTGATCTGTGAAGGACACGAACTCTCTCACTGAGCGCAACCGGCGTATAGAATAGCTCTTGTCACGTGGAGGAGCCTCGCATTGATCCTTTTAACTTGTTGCTTTGCAGAATGCGTTACGTGGCCGCTTACATGCTGGCTGTTCTGGGGGGCAAAGCCTCGCCAAGCCAGAATGACATTGAAAAGATCTTGTCGTCGGTGGGGATCGAGGCCGACGTTGAGAAGCTGAAGAAGGTCATCACCGAACTGAACGGGAAGTCGATTGACGAACTCATTACCAAGGGTGCGTCCATGCGTCTTTTTAATGCTCAAAAACGTTTACCGCCTTCTCCGTAATTCAAGTCGAATAGGAGAGTGAAACAGGGACTCCCAGGATAGATTACCATTCACTTTGCGATTCCTTTGTTACTCGAGTCTCTAGTCAAATTGTTACAAAATTGGAGCAAACGTGAGACGAGAGTTTGAGACTGAACGCGAGACTCGCCGTCTGCGAGTCGAACGCTCTCGCACGGAGCTGTGCATCGTCCGAGAGCGCGATTGAGTATAATTTTCTTTTGTAATTTTAGGTAGAGAGAAACTGTCATCCATGCCGGTTGGAGGAGCGGTCGCGGCTGGCGCTCCTGCGGCTCCTGCCGGTGGTGCGGCAGCTCCTGTCGAGGAGAAGAAAGGTGGGTCCATCAATTTCTCATCTTAAGGCCTGTGTCCGCAATGCTAGAACTTGGACACAGGCCTTTGGATTCAGCCGAGTTAAGTCCGGGTTCACGATAGGTGTAGCAATCTTTAAGCCTTAAAGGCCTGCGTTCGCATTGCTAGAACTTGATCCAAGTTCTAGCGTCGTGGACGCTATGCGTTAACCCTTTCGTGAACTTGCACTTTTTGCCTCTGGTTTCTCGGACTGTTAGTGTCCCGTAAAGAAAGAATTCAGTAAAGCGAGACGTATTCATGTCTCTGATGATAGGCGAGCGAAACTAATAATTTTGATTTCAACAGAGGAGAAGAAGCCGGCAAAGGAGGAGTCCGAATCAGAGGACGATGACATGGGCTTCGGCTTGTTCGACTGAAGACGCTGCTGTTACGATTTTTATCTTGTCGAAACGAGACGCGCTGCATTCTGCGGCAGTGGTTTCCAACTTGTACAAGTCGTAGACTCTGGCTGACGCTACTGCTGACGAATAAAGCGTATTTTAATTCGATCCCCAGCTTCTGTACGTCCCCGCGTCCCAATCGTCGTCCTCGCGTCGCGCGCGAAACCTCCGGCGATAACCTTCGGGGTGTTTTATAGAGAAAAAGTACTTTAATTAGAGAGGGAACGCGGGAAGGTGGGAGGGAGAGTCGTAATCGACTGCGTGGAAATACGTTACGCACTCGTGCGCCGTTGCGGTTCGCTCGTGGCGGCTCGCAGGTGGGGAAGGGCGAGGAGAGGGAGTGATGCGCGAGAGATCCGCCACCGAGTCCAATCGTGTCAAATCGCTGCTTGTATTCTTCCGCTGGTGTCGCTGGGCGCTTGTGCCGTGCCCGACTCTCTCTCTATCTACCTGTCTTTCTCTCTCCGCTAACGTCATCGCGAACGTCGGCGCTGACCGGCCGACGGAGAAGATCGCCCGGGCGGCGTTATCGTCGACCTCACGGCGCGCGGCGCGGACGCGGCGGCGACGTCCCCCTCGGGGGACCCTCCTCATACGCGGGAACTATTTCGAGATAGAGGGGCGGCGTTGGCGGCCATGATGGGTGTCAGCGGCGAGTAGCGACGTTACCTCGCTCTCCGTCAGTCGGTTTCGCGCTTCGACGTATTGATGCCGAGTATCTCGGGGAGGCAGAGCGGCGCGCACAACGACGACAGACCCGGGTACGGAGCACCGTAAGTAGAAGGGACGCACGGTCTTGGATCTTGGCGCCGACCTAGCCACCGCGCGCACGCACGCACACGGGGGCTGAAGTCTGCACGCGGCCGTAGCAGCGGCTGGGAACATCTCTATCTCTCTCTCTTGCGCTCCGCGGGGACTCCAGCGAGCCACCTCGGCGAAAATGACGCAGCTACTGCCCATAAGGTTCCAGGAACACCTGCAGGTACGTCTTCGCCTCTCGTCTCCGCCGCGATATCCCCCCCGGGGGGAGGGGAGGGGAGCCCGCGCCGTCACTTGGCATTTACCACGTCGGCCTTTCTCCCGAGACACCGGACATTTTCTCTGCCCCCGCATCTCTCGTTCTCTCTCTCTCTCTCTTCCTCTTCCCCTCCCCCTCTCTCACCGTCTCGCTCTTTCTCGCTCGCTCGCGCCCGTCGGTGTATCGACGATTTACTCTCTCTCTCTCTCTCTCTCTCCCCCGGAACGGAAGTGCAATATTTCGGGGCTGACGTTACTTTGACAGTTGCAACGTCTCCCCCTCCCCTCTCCGAGCCTCCTCCTTTCCTCTCGCCCGCGCGCGTCTCGCGATGACGTTACGCACGCCCGACTCTCGAGCGGAGCCGACTCGCCTCGGCGGGTCTTCGGCGGCGCGCGGGTCTCGTGGCACAGGTTATCCCGGGCGCGATATCCGCCTGGAATTCGACGCGATATCGCGTTCTCGCCCTCGGTCGGTTTCCCCACCGCCCGGGCCGGACGCTATCGTTGCCGCATACGCCCCTCGTTTCCGCTTTTGCCGAAAGCGTACCACCTTATCGGATGCTCCCCGTGCATTCCTTCGTCCCGACGTCACCGCGTTCGGCCGTTGAAACGGAACGGAAGGCATGCCCTCGCATCCACGTAGACTCCCGTCGACGGCGGGCGCCGCGCGCCGTTTGTTTGCACCCTGCGCGCCGCGAGCCCGCGGCCGAGCTTTATTTTGGCAACATATGGTCGTCACGGATAATATCACGCGCTGTCGGGGCCGTTGCCTTCGAATTCATCCCGTACACGTTCTGCCGCAATTTCCCGGCTATAGTGCGCAGCCCGCAACCGACATTCGGCTCGGTTGTTGTCGGTGAGCGCGTGCGTCGGTCGTTTTTACATTGTTATAAAAGAATGTCAATAGAGGTGATTTGACAATAAAGCTCTCGCCCTCCCCCCTTCCCAGGAAACAGCCTAAAATCGTAGGCTCGAGTCGTATCTCCGAGAAGGGTGATACAAACTTGAAGGGTACAACGCTATCTATGGAGTTCTCGCTCCTCTCCGCTCCCCAGGCAACTCATTTAAAACTGTATGCTCGAATCATGTTGCAACCGGGGAGAGAGATAATTCTACGTGCTCGAAGGATACAAGACCGTCTGTGTCTCTTATGTTTGCAGCTCACGGCTGTAGGGATCAACGCCAACAATGTCAGCTTCAACACCCTCACCATGGAGTCCGACAAGTTCATTTGCGTTAGAGAGAAGGTCGGTGACACTGCCCAGGTGGTGATCATCGACATGAACGACTCCGCCAATCCTATCAGAAGACCGATATCCGCCGATTCCGCAATTATGAATCCCGCTAGTAAAGTCATCGCTCTCAAAGGTATGCGCGCACACGCCGTGTGCGAGTGCGCTCGGTCTCGGCGGGAAGGAGCGTGCAACGGCAGAAGATAGATGTGTTGAAATAGAATGTTGAAAGAGCATTTAGCCAAAAAAACGATCCGTATGGATGCTATACGGATTATTTCACTCAGCGATGCCCGTTTTTATCAATGCAGATTAGCTTCAATCTCGGTTGAGAGAAATCACTTGTTACCTTCTTCTAAGTCGTAAGGCTAGAAAAAGATATGAAGAAAGTTAAACTGCGTTGGTGGAAACGGGCGTGAGAAATATTTCAAGAGATAAGATTAAAACGGTCCTTAAATATAAGAATTGACTGTAAGCAAGCCTCAGGCCCGGTTTTACCAAACGTCGCTTAACTTTAATCTTAGTTTAATTCACGTTTGTCTCCTTTTAAAGTAACAGTTGGAATAAGACAGAGAACGACTTGAGGTTGCAATGAAACTGGCTCATGGGCCCGGTTTTTCATTTTTTGATTAATTGTTAACCAGGTGTGTACTCGGTGCACACTAGCGCAAGCAGTCGAATTCTCGATAAGTTTGCTTTACCTGTAACTCGGAGAGAGCAATCTTGGGATGCCTGTTGCACGCCTTTTCCTGAAGCGAGCCTGGTAACAACGAAAATATATCGAGGGAAAGAATTGCCGAGAGAAATATTTGCTTGTATTTGACTAGCCATGAAGACACTCCAGATCTTCAACATCGAGATGAAGTCGAAGATGAAGGCTCACACAATGACGGAGGACGTGGTCTTTTGGAAATGGATATCGCTGAACACGCTGGCGCTAGTGACGGAGACTGCGGTGTACCATTGGTCCATGGAGGGCGACTCGACGCCGAATAAGATGTTTGAACGTCACTCGTCGTTAAACGGCTGCCAAATTATAAATTACAGAACAGATCCGAAGCAGACGTGGCTGCTGCTGATCGGTATCTCGGCGCAGCACAACAGAGTGGTCGGCGCCATGCAGCTGTATTCCGTGGAGCGAAAATGCTCGCAGCCGATCGAGGGACACGCCGCCTCGTTCGCCCAATTCAAGATGGAGGGTAACGCCGAGGCGAGCAATCTGTTCTGCTTCGCCGTTAGAACGGTCCAGGGCGCGAAGCTTCACATCATCGAGGTGGGCCAGCCGCCCTCCGGTAACCATCCGTTTCCCAAAAAAGCGGTGGACGTCTTCTTCCCACCCGAGGCCGGAAACGACTTTCCCGTCGCCATGCAAGTTAGCTCCAAGTACGACGTCATATATTTAATCACGAAATACGGTTATATACATATGTACGATATCGAGTCCGCGACCTGTATATTTATGAATCGCATCTCGGGAGAGACGATCTTCGTTACCGCCCCGCACGAGGCGTCCGGCGGTATAATAGGAGTGAATCGGAAAGGCCAGGTCTTGTCCGTCTCCGTGGACGAGGAGAACATAATCCCGTACATCAACGGGGTGTTGCAGAATTCGGAATTGGCGCTGAGAATGGCCGTGAGAAACAATCTGTCGGGCGCGGAGGACTTGTTTGTGAGGAAATTCAATTTGCTCTTCCAAAACGGTCAGTACGCGGAGGCGGCGAAGGTCGCGGCGAACGCGCCCAAGGGAATACTGAGAACCCCCGCGACCATCCAACGATTTCAGCAGGTGCCCGCTACGCAGGGCCAAACGTCGCCCCTCCTGCAGTACTTTGGCATTCTTCTGGATCAGGGGCAGCTGAATAAGTACGAATCGTTGGAGCTGTGTCGGCCGGTGTTGGTCCAGGGACGTAAGCAGCTGCTGGAAAAGTGGTTGAAGGAGGACAAGCTGGAGTGCAGCGAGGAATTGGGGGATCTGGTGAAGCAAGCGGATCCCACGTTGGCGCTTAGCGTCTATTTGAGAGCCAACGTCCCCAACAAGGTCATCCAATGCTTCGCGGAGACCGGCCAATTTCAGAAGATCGTGCTGTATGCCAAGAAAGTCTCGTACACGCCCGACTATATATTCCTCTTGCGGAACGTCATGAGGATTAATCCGGATCAGGGTGTGGTGTTTGCGCAGATGCTGGTTCAGGACGACGATTCGCTGGCCGACATCAATCAGATCGTTGACATATTTATGGAGCAGAATATGGTGCAGCAATGTACGGCGTTCCTGCTGGACGCGCTCAAGAACAATCGGCCGAGCGAGGGTGCCTTACAGACCCGCCTTTTAGAGATGAATTTAATGTCCGCCCCGCAAGTGGCCGACGCTATATTGGGCAATCAAATGTTTACCCATTACGACAGAGCTCACGTCGCGCAATTGTGCGAGAAGGCTGGCCTGTTGCAACGCGCTCTCGAGCACTACACGGATCTTTATGACATCAAGAGGGCGGTGGTGCACACGCATCTGCTCTCGCCCGATTGGCTCGTAGGTTTCTTCGGCACCTTGTCCGTCGAGGATTCCCTCGAATGCCTCAAGGCCATGTTAACCGCCAACATACGGCAGAACTTGCAGATCTGCATACAAATCGCGACCAAGTATCACGAACAATTGACGACCAAGGCGTTGATCGACCTCTTCGAGAGCTTCAAGTCTTATGAGGGCCTGTTCTACTTTTTGGGCTCCATCGTGAATTTCAGCCAGGATCAAGAGGTGCACTTCAAGTACATCCAGGCGGCGTGCAAGACCGGCCAGATCAAGGAGGTGGAGCGCATATGTCGCGAGAGCAACTGCTACAATCCGGAACGCGTCAAGAATTTCTTGAAGGAAGCGAAGCTGTCCGATCAATTGCCTTTGATCATCGTGTGCGATCGATTCGACTTCGTTCACGATCTCGTTCTGTACCTTTACCGCAATAACTTGCAAAAGTACATCGAGATCTACGTCCAGAAGGTGAATCCGTCGCGTCTACCGGTGGTCGTGGGCGGGCTGTTGGACGTCGACTGTTCGGAGGACATCATCAAGAATCTGATACTGGTGGTGCGCGGACAATTCTCCACCGACGAGCTGGTCGAGGAGGTGGAAAAGAGAAATCGGCTCAAGCTGCTGCTGCCGTGGCTGGAGTCTCGCGTTCACGAGGGCTGCGTCGAGCCGGCCACGCACAACGCCCTGGCCAAGATCTACATCGACAGTAACAACAATCCCGAGAGATTCCTCAAGGAGAATCAATTCTACGACAGTCGCGTCGTCGGCAAGTATTGCGAGAAGCGCGATCCCCATCTGGCCTGCATCGCGTACGAGCGTGGCCAGTGCGACCGCGAGCTGATAAGCGTGTGCAACGAGAACAGCTTGTTCAAGAGCGAGGCCAGATACCTGGTGAGACGCCGAGATCCCGATCTTTGGGCGGAGGTGCTGTTGGAGAGCAATCCATACAAGCGACCGTTGATCGATCAGGTCGTTCAAACGGCGCTGTCCGAGACGCAAGATCCCGAGGATATATCGGTCACCGTCAAGGCTTTCATGACGGCCGACTTGCCTAACGAGCTGATCGAGCTTCTCGAGAAGATAGTGCTGGACAGCAGCGTGTTCAGCGACCACCGTAACTTGCAGAATCTCTTGATACTGACCGCCATCAAGGCCGATCGTACGCGCGTCATGGAGTACATTAATCGCTTAGATAACTACGACGCTCCGGACATCGCCAACATCGCTATTAACAATGAGCTTTACGAGGAGGCTTTCGCGATCTTCAAAAAGTTCGACGTCAACACGTCGGCCATCCAGGTGCTGATCGAGCAAGTCGGCAACTTGGACAGGGCTTACGAATTTGCGGAAAGGTATGGTATATACGCGTTCCGCGTCTTGTTTTGGTGCGTTTTGCTTAAACTCACCCTTTCCTGCGTAGGTGCAACGAGCCGCCGGTGTGGTCGCAGCTCGCCAGAGCCCAGCTGCAGCAAGGCCTGGTCAAGGAATCGATCGACAGCTTCATCAAAGCGGACGACCCGTCCGCGTACATGGACGTGGTGGAAACCGCACATCGGACCTCGCACTGGGAAGACTTGGTGCGCTATCTCCAAATGGCTCGCAAGAAAGCACGCGAGTCCTTTATCGAGAGCGAATTGATATACGCATACGCGCGAACCAACAGGCTCGCGGACCTCGAGGAATTTATATCCGGCCCTAATCACGCCGATATACAAAAGGTGAGAGGAGTCGTTTGCCCGCGCGTCGTTCGCGAGCGCAACTCGAATTCTACGAACGTATTGTTCCTTTTACAGATTGGCGACAGGTGTTTCGACGACAAGATGTACGACGCCGCGAAGCTCCTCTACAACAACGTGTCGAACTTTGCGCGTCTAGCTATAACGCTGGTGCATCTGAAAGAATTCCAGGGCGCCGTCGATAGCGCGCGCAAGGCCAACTCGACGCGCACCTGGAAGGAAGTTTGTTTCGCCTGCGTGGACAGCGGCGAGTTTCGCCTGGCCCAAATGTGCGGTCTGCACATAGTTGTACACGCAGACGAGCTCGAGGACCTGATCAATTACTACCAAGATCGCGGGCACTTTGAGGAGCTCATCAACCTCTTGGAAGCTGCTCTAGGACTCGAACGGGCTCACATGGGAATGTTCACCGAGCTAGCTATTCTCTACAGCAAATACAAGCCTCAACGAATGAGGGAACATTTGGAACTCTTCTGGTCGCGCGTCAATATACCGAAGGTGGGTCTCGAATTAATACAAAAAATGCAAATTCCTTCATCACTCGAGAAAATAAAATCGATTGACTCGTAGGTGCTACGCGCAGCGGAACAAGCGCATTTGTGGGCCGAGCTGGTGTTCCTGTACGACAAGTACGAAGAGTACGATAACGCGGTCCTCGCGATGATGCAACATCCTACGGAAGCTTGGCGAGAGGGCCACTTCAAAGACGTAATCACTAAAGTCGCCAACGTCGAGCTCTACTACAAGGCTATACAATTTTACTTGGAATATAAACCCCTTCTTTTGAACGACATATTGCTCGTGCTCGCTCCGCGCATGGATCACACCAGATCGGTGGCGTATTTCACGCGAACCGATCATCTGCAGCTGGTAAAGCCGTACTTGAGATCGGTTCAGGCTCTCAACAACAAAGCCATTAACGAAGCCTTAAACGGCTTGCTGATTGACGAAGAGGATTACCAAGGTCTTCGAACATCGATCGATGCGTTCGATAATTTTGATAATATCGCGTTAGCGCAGCAACTCGAGAAACACGAATTGATTGAGTTCAGGAGAATCGCCGCGTACCTATACAAGGGAAATAATAGATGGAAACAGTCTGTAGAGCTGTGCAAGAAGGATCGGCTGTTCAGGTAACGCCTCGCGTTATTTAAATCGAGGATACACTTACGCTATGTACGTACGTGCGAATTTTACTAACCGTCAATTCTATAACAGGGACGCCATGGAATATGCAGCGGAATCCCGAAATGCAGAAGTCGCCGAGGAATTACTCGAGTGGTTCTTGGACAGAGGTTCTAAGGACTGCTTCGCGGCATGCCTATTTCATTGTTACGATTTACTTCATCCGGACGTCATCTTGGAGCTCGCCTGGAGACATCGCATTTTACATTTCGCAATGCCGTATCTTATACAAGTCGCGCGGGAATATATTACTAAGGTAAAGAGGAAGGATATTCGTACATCCAGCTCTTTGTGTCCTTATACCGCCGGTAGTATTCGCATTCTTATTAAATACGTTGTTTGTATGGACAGGTCGATAAATTAGAAGAGGCCGAGAGCCGACGCATTGAAGAAACTGATCATCAGGAACATAAGCCTATGATTATGCGTAAGTGATCTTTTTAACGTCTTCTCGTCGTGAATATGGATCTCATAAATGTGGCAACGTTTTCCACATTAATGACATTCCTTTCTGTCGCATGTTTACAGCGGAACCTCAGCTAATGCTGACTGCAGGGCCAGGAATGATGGCACCTGGCTACGCGCCTCAAAACGTATACGGTGCACCGGCACAAGTGTATGCGTCCACCGCAGCCTACCAAGGTTACGGTATGTGAAATACGTTTAAGGAGACAGATCAACAAAGTCTACTTTTCTATAAAGTTTAGGTAGAATGAGATTGTTTTGTTAGCTTAATATCGTCAAAGCGAATACGAATGAATATCACTAGAAACGATGAATTGCCACGATTTAGATCATGATAATAGTGTAACAAATAGCGAAATGCATGGAGAAACGGCATTAATACGCTATCACACGCTATCTAAATGTGAATCTATAATTTATAGGGGAAACGTCGAGCAAACAATTATATTTCACGGTTTAAATAGATGTTTAATGCGGATTTTGCGCGAAAAACATATTGAAAAAAAATTATATTTAAGAAAAACTACAAAACAAAAAAATTGTCTTTTTTTTAATGCAAATTATCGAGACTTTTCTATTAAATTATTTATCATTGCACGGTCAGTAAAGAGAACTATATATACGTTGTGTGAGCAAAGTATAATTTCCCTGTCTTTTACTGGCACATATATGTGTGCGTCTACGTGCCTTTCTTTTGGCTACTAACAGGAAGCAAGCTTTTTTGGGCAATGTTCGTGAATAATTCGAAAGCAAAATCAACTGTAGATCAGTTACATCGCGTATTTGTGTACAGATTACCCACTATTTGCTGTTCAAGCGAAATTTCTTTAACTACGTACAGAACGTACGTTTGAAAGCGTTCGTTCGTTCTCTTTTTCTTATCCTCGGAAAAATGTTGGTATCGTACGAGATGTACATCCTCGAAACATTTTAGCGTGTGATGAGTCACAGTGAAAATTAACTGAGCCCTCGCAAAATTGAAATGTAACAAGCGTATCCTTTAGACTGGGGTAGATCGCGTATCGTTATATCAGTATTGTAACGACGAGATCGAGACGGGGAGAAAAGCTGTAGACATCAATCTTGTTGGCGCTATCTATAACGACATATGACATCGTTCTATCTCTATCCTGTATGTACATTTGCTTGAACATAATGCGAAGATACGTGTTCGCCGAGTTAGCTTGATTTGCGTAAACGAAATAAATCATAAAATAAATCATAGATACCCGAAATTGTCGGCGAGATCTTATCGTCTCATTAATGTACCGTAGTACATAAAGTAGTTTGCCCGAGTTTCTTTTTTGTCCGATCTACATCGTGTATCATGCTTTTAACCTTTCGTTACTCATTGCGCAAGCAGATAATTGCAGACAACTAGAGTTCGAGGAACATATTAAAGTTAATTTGATAAAGTCCAGCACGAGCGTCACCGTCACATACGTTCACACCTTAGAGTTTCGATAATATTTTCTACTCGTTTCACATATTTGTGTGCATAATATCTTATCCGAGATAATTGATCGTTATTCATCACGTAGCTTGTTACGAACTATGCCTAAATTATACAAGTATTAAGATGAATTATATCGCGATACCTCTCTGGAAACCGACAGAGATGTATTTTTTGTTGTACGCACTTGTTTTTTTTTCTTTTAAATATTTATGCATGTATAAAAAGTGCTACGTCGACGCATCAGGACTCAATATGTATCAAGTACGACAAGCAATTAAGAAAAAAAAACAAATTAATTTTGTAGTACATCCTTTAACATTCCTAAATGTAAGCTACCATGCTACGTGTAATCTTATATCACTTAGTGAGAGATATCTCATTTTTTTAATCACATCTCAAGATATAACGGGTTATAGTTGTGTAGTCGTCTTTATTTTAAAGCGCGCGAAGAGCGAGAGTTTGTACCGACGAACAGGTCACGTTACTACTGTGCCCAAGTAAAAAGTTTGTATTACGTAATAGTAAGAAAAAAAGAGCGAAGTTAGTTTGTTCGTCTCGTTTTCTACTCGTCCTCTTGATCGCGCGGTACTTTCGTCTCTTTTTGGTACTCCACAGTTGATCTTGCAGTGATCCAGCTGTATATATTTACATATATAAAAGCGTTAGGACGAGAGAGGAGGAGGTCGGTAACATGCCCTGGTACTGTTTCACTTTGATCTAAACTTTAGCCAATGAAATTGTAGAGATTGATTAACAAATATAGTTGTTGTACTAATTGAAAATGATTATCATTGTATCAGTGTCATGTTTGACCACTGCGGTTTTAATGGAGCATGGGTGGACACACTTCCAAGATGACTACATTATTGTTCAATAGTTATGCACACCTTTCCATATGGACACATGACACGAAGAGATTTACACATATACATACATTATATATAAATATAATGCTATATTATATATACGACTATATATATAAATACTGTACCATGTAAGTAGTAAATATTACATTACCAATAATGTAATATCCTGTAATTGTAATATCCTACGATAATAATCTGCAAAGGAATGCTGAAAGATATGAAGAAATAAAAGAATTCTAACATCTATACGAAAGTAAAGTAATTTTGGGCGAAGAGGATTACTCTACGGAATTAATCACGTATGATAACGTTACCTGTACACCAATTTATTCTATCACATTTCTTTCCTTCGCGACATCATTTCCTCAAGATTTAACGCTAATTTGTGAATCTCCTTGGAGGACGGCATCAATTCTCTATCAATATAATTATATAAAATATCTATCACAACATGACAATTGAACTATTCTTATATTTTTTAACCGCTCGTTCTGCAGGCCTTGTAGATAGTTCCCTTCCAAATGCTTTCAATGTCACACCGTCGTCCAGATGAATATTAATCTTGACCACATTCTTTGGTATTGCTGAAAACAGTGAAAAGATGTTAACAATACCAAGATATATATATATATAAACTTTTACAAGAAATTGATGGTGCCAACGTTTATAAAAGCGGGAAATGCTTTACAATGCTTGTTAATGCAAAGACAAACGTCGACAAATTTACACTAGCATACTTCGAACAACATTGTCTATCCCGCAAATCCTAAAGGTGTTCTTTGTGTCCTGTATAACGATTCCCGCGACTCCTACGAGACTGGGGCATCTTGACTTGTCGATCGAGATCCTGGCGCCGTGGAAATCGGCTTTTATCAATTGCAGGTTTACACTCTCCCAATTTGGACTGCTAGGACTCATCGGGATGCTGGCAAACGACTCGACACCGAGCGCTTCTCGCATGTACTGCAGCCACAATTGATTCAAGGGCAAAAGATCGGAATATTTCATTTGATTCCCGCTGCCGACCTTGCCCAGACCAAGGCGCAGCCTCTTCCTGGCCGAGTGAAACTTGGCGCTCTCAATCTTCTGCTTGCGCTTTGGTTTGATTTTATTAAATATGAAGGTCTGAAAAGAGCAACGTCTCTGTTAAGCAATTATTAATTATATTTCCACGAATACTCCGTCATTTATGTTGTTATTTATTACGTACTTTTCGCAGCTCTTCCGAAATCGATTTACGGTCGGACGGTGGCAACACGTTTTGCAAAAAATCGATGACATACTGCTGAGTGTTCTCGCAGATCTTGATATGACTAGTCAGACTTTTGGGAAGCGGCGAGCACAATTCTGGAAGACAATCGTTATTAAATAGAAGAATTAAATCATAAATTCATACCATTATATACCAATATTTACTCGCATAGCTCGACATGGTTCCGGCTCCCAAATTAATTCAGTCGGATCGCAATCGGAATTCGTAATTATTTTTCTGTCAAAATATCATTACAATGCATGGTTCTCTTGAAAGTGCGGAATGTCGTTATTAATTGATCACAATACTAATGACAACATTGACAACACTAATCGAAACTTTGTAAAACTGAAGAGAAACCTAAGAGCGGACATCCAACTCAGAAATAAATACGCCCTCTGAAAAAGTGGACGTTAACTACGTCCGTTCGTTCGGTAACGGTGAAACTTGGACAAAGTTCCAGCATCATGGGACACAGGCCTTTAGAAGTGTTGTATCTAGATATTCGTGTGCGATGGATGATGGAAATTGATGTTTGAAATTTTCAGGATAATTCAATGAGCGAACAGCTTTTATGGAAAAGTAACCGACTTTCGGCGTACGCTCGACGCTCATTGGATTATCGTGCGTGATGCGTTCAGTGGAAACACAGCATAAGGCTGATGGCAGACAACCATCCGTAAGCGCTTACGGCTTAAGTTTTTCTCTGCCTTACCGTAAGTTTACGGCTTACGGAAGTCCGTAAGCGCTTACGGATGGTTGTCTGCCTTCAGCCTAATTCAAAATTAGAACAATTGATTGGCTGTGTTCAGCAGAAGTTAGCGCTTAATAAGTGCTTTATGCTGATTGGATAGATCTAGAAGAATAGCTCTATTTCAGCACAGATCTGAAAGTATAATCCAATGAGCGCAAAACGCTTAGCAAGCGCTAACTTCTGCTGGACACAGTCAGGGCGACGTCCCATGGAGCGTAAATTGCGTAGCGTAACCTGCGTATCACCAATCACAGGATCATGCTGATAGAACCGTTTCAATAATTCCGTTGAACTAGTCCTGTGATTGGCGATACGAAGGTTGCGCTACGCAACTTACGCTCCATGTGAAAGCACCCTCATTGACTTGCCCACAATTGACCAGAGAAGAACGTGTTTTTAAATAATTTTCATTTGCAATCGTTTGTATCTTGTATGAAGAGTTATGAAGTGTGATTAAAAAAATTTGTGATGCAGATAAAATTTATAAAATAAAATAAAAATTATTTAAAAATACCTTCTTTTCCGATCAAGTGTGGGTGAATAATTATAACTTTTATTACATGTGCCTTATTTATAAATGACTATGTTACACGTCACCCTTATGGCTCATTCAGACTAGACGCGATGAGCGACGAGCAACGCGCGATTATCCAATGAGCGTACAGGTTTTATGGGAAAGCGTACAGTTTTCCTATAAAGACTGCACGCCCATTGGATATCGCGCGTCGCTCATCGCTCATCGCGTTCAGTCTGAATGAGGCTTTAGTCGGGTTTAATAACATCCGTAGTTATAAAACTGGCTAATCACAACTATTCTTTAGAAGAATGGAACGACTGTGATTGGTCAGTTCCTTAACAACTGATGTTATTAAACCCGATTAGGGTGTCGTGTAACAACACTCAATGACGTGTGATAAAAATTCGCGTTTGCCTGGCTGTTACATATGGCGGATTGAAGCCAATGAAAAATCGTCGCTACATTTGCTTTACTCTATTAAAGGAACTCTAGCCGAGGCGAGCCGAGCGTGGCCGAATCGAGCCAACTGTAACTGCGGCAAGCGGCAAGTAGAGAGTTGGGGAGCTGACGGGCACACGTAAAACATGGCGGAGGCCGTTGTGGACGGGAGTCCGATGTCTCGGTTTTTTTGCCACAAATGCAGCGTCGAGATCGAGCAAGTGCTGCCGGTAAGTGCGTCGCGACGTTCCCCGTCGCGCTCGGTCGCCCATCCGCGCCGTCCGGCGCGGAATCGCCGCGACGGAACGTCCAGAAGCAGCTGTCAACTCCCGTGTCATGTGCGGAAATTTTATTTCTCTCTCTCTCTCTGTCTTTCTCTTCACCCCCCCGCCCGCGGCGAACGATGCTCGCCTCGGTCGTCTCCGCATCGAACAACGGAGTCGATGACATCGGCAGCTGCTTTCCCCCTCGGTCTTGCGGTTTACCAAAATCTCGAGACCGAGTCGGCAGGTTCGCGGCAGGTTCGCGGCAGGTTTACGCCTCCTGAACGACCTCTCCCCCCCCGGAAAGCGTGCTACGCACGTTCTCGCGATCGTTGTCCTCGATCGAACCCCCCTTCGTTTATTTTGATTAAGCCTTCTCCACGATTCGACCGGGAGCCTCGTCTAATCCGACCGCGCTTTGTGCACGAAACTTACTAAGCGCACAAATATGCAGCATCTGTCCTTTCTTGCATGTCGGGCTTTTTGTTTTGTTTGATAGAAGACAATTATATCTTTGCGTTCTAGAGAGAGAAGGTAGAATTGAAAGGAAGAAAGAGTAGCAGATTGTTTTGTTTCTCTCGTCCTATTTCTAGAATGTTTTCGAAATCTATAAAGACATTGCTGTCTCATCTTGCCAGGATTGACGTTATTGTTATAAGTCATCAACATAAGAAATGTATTTACATTCCACAGGTGTTTCAATTTGCAAATGTTTAATACAAGCGTACGCGTTCGGGCAGCCTGTCAAGGGCAGGCATAAATCGCATAATTTAGACTCCCCTGATTGACATTACGCTTCCGATTAGAATTTCAGATGTCCACGATGCTCGAGCGGCTTCATCGAAGAGCTGGAAAGCAGCAGCAACGAGGGCAGCTCGGGCATAGACAACAACGAAGATCTGGAAGGGGATATCGACATCCTGGCATATAACGTGAGTCAAATTTAATTGTGCAACCACTGTCATGAATGGACAATCGCTGTATGTACCTGACACTATCTGTACATACCTTCACAGCGTGACCGTGATCGTGACATAATAGATATGATTATGGGTCTCTCCAATTCATACTCCAATCAACAGTTGAATACCAGCCAACAACCCGGAGGTGGCAATAGAAACTATGTGCTTACGAGCAGAAGAAGGTCTAATTGGTCTCGTGCCCCTCAAGATGGACGTCGCACCAGCAGGTATCTTGCCGAATTATCGCGTACACCTATTGCCGAACGTCGCTTGTAATGGATGGATTTATTTATTCGAATGCTCGGCGTCAAATTTGACTAAGGGCACGCGTCCTGCCCGACTTTCTCTCCTCCTTTGTTCTCGATAGATGCGAAATACTACATCGATTGTATTTACTTTTTATCAATGTCTCCTGTGCATGATATTTGTGTGGGGAAAATTTGTGAGATAATAGGTTGGTTTTTTGTCACTCAAAGTAGCAATCGTAGAAGACAAGAGAGTCTACAGGTGCCTATAGAGAATTTCATACAAGATTTTCTCTTCAATCTCTCGGGAGCGGCGAGTCTGAGTAACTCTGTGGGCCAAGATGGACAGCCCTCTGTGTAAGTTGTTTTATATGATGGATACTGTTTGTGATATCAGACAGTGTAATTGTTAAGTACAAATGGGTAAAGATATTTCTGTCATAAGTAATAGGTGGATTGATATTTACAGCATTTAATTCACATGTTCTCGAGACATAAGTACATGTCGTTTTACTCGATATATTTCACTGCAACTTTTTTTATTTTTCTTTTTGTAACGGTTTACGTTTCCATACTTTGATCTCTGTTCCTTTTCTCTTTTTTTCTGTATGCACAAGTATGTGCATTTTCATATAAAAGTCAGCAAGTCGATTGTCAAGGTGCTCTCTCAACAGCGATGGCAACTTTTTAAATATTTAAAAAGTTCATTCATCCATGGGGGTACCAGCCATTAACAAGTGTATTTAATCTTTAGTAATTACTAAAATAAAATCAAATAATGTAGATTCGATATTAGACTGTTCTTGGGAAATCCTGGAGATTATGTTTGGGGTCGCGATGGATTAGACGCTATTGTTACCCAATTATTGAATCAAATGGATGGTACTGGACCACCACCTTTATCACGCAACCAGATTGACGAAATACCTACTACTACTATTACACAAAGTCAAGTTGGTTAGTATCCAATGCTATATATGGTTGTGTAGTTTGTGACATTTATTATCTTTTAAGATTCTTATCAATCTCCGGGTTAGCAAAACAGCAATGTACATGTCAAATAATTCAAATTAATGATAAGAATTTAAAGGATCAGAATGTTCCTAAGTGTTGTATTAAGCCCAGCGTTTCTCAAACATTTCAGTCCCACGACTTCCAAAACGTAATAAAAGTTAAAAATTAATACTTTGCGGTCCCCCCCCCCCCTACCAAACTCAATCGGGTAGAGCGGGACTACTTCGCTCAGTTAAAAAAAAATCGTGTAAGAAAGTTAATAAAATTAATAATTTCGCGATTCCCAGTTTGAGAAATGCTGTATTATATTTTTGTACATTAAAGTATCCTTTCTTCCAACTGTTCTTACTTCACAATACCTGTTGTCGTTTTGTTAAATTGGTGAGAACAATCTTTCCTTTTTCTTTACGCAGATTGTAAACTACAATGTTCCGTTTGCTGGGAAGACTTCAAGCTATCGGAACCTGTTAGACAGTTGCCATGCCAGCATGTCTATCACGCGCCATGCATTGTACCCTGGTTGGAATTAGTAAGCTGAAAAAGATTTCAATTCATGTATCGGTCTTGGAATGTAAATTGAGATCATTTTTCCGTTTCATTATCTAGCACGGAACCTGCCCTATTTGTAGACAGAACTTGGGAGATCAAAATCAGGCTGAAGCGAACCAAGATACTGGAACCAACATAGCTGGATCTACTTTGGCTGGGTCCAGTTTTGCTGCTTTATTTAGGCGAGTGATAAAGTATTTATTGTATAAATTTGCATCTATGCAAAACATTGATCTAACACTTGATTTAATTTCGTTTATGCGACATTTAATTTCTCACACTGTGAACGGCGGTTATTGTAGAATTGATTAGACTTGTTTGCGCAATTTCTCGTTTCTTTCTTTGTTTTCTATTTATAATGCACGTGGTTCATAAATATTTTGAATGTGTTATGATGTGTGATATAGGGCAGCAAATGAAGCAAGCAACCGAACGGGACAGCCAATTAGCCGGACATCGTCCACTTCGTCATCTACTTCATCAGAGTAGTAGCTCCACTTCAAGTGAGATTTGAGAGTGATATTTTTCTTTCAACTATCCCCGTTTCATGATTTAGCCGAATGTATATCTATTTTTAACACATTGATACTACTTCTCTGGCACTCTTGCCTTTAGTAAGGCACAAATCTCTTTACAGATAAAACGTGTCAGCTACAAAATTCGAATCGCGATCGCTTAATCGATTGATATTGTCTCAAGTGTAAAGTGCTGAGTTCAACGAAATGTTTTGTTCTACGGTTCAGCAAATTGTATTACGTAGATATCGGTCGAAATAACAAAATCCGTAGATTAAATTGTTACATCTATCTCTGCCTGTGGCGCTAATTTTAACATTCAACATTAGAATGTTATATACAGAGACTATAATAGATCTTACAGTCTTTAATGCCATTTGATTTAATATTTATAAATACTGGAATGGTTATTGAAACAAGCCAGGCACTGGCGAATTATACACGCTATTACAGTTCGGAATAGAAAAGGGCTTTTACTTCAATTAAATTTATTATTTAAAAAAGAGAAAAACTGCAAAAGTAACCTACGTAGTCTTTATAGACGTTATTTATACGTGGGTAGTTTTATTTTGAGTAAAATTAATTTCAAGTAAACTTTTGGAACAAGTTAACAAATTTTATGTTATTTATAAAATTAAACTATAGTTTTTCGCCGAGGCTCAGTAAGATCAATGTATGTAAACTTAGTATAAATAAACAAAAATTCGCGATCTGAAAACAAACTGTAATAAATTCAATTGACGCATGATGCAAAAGATATCTGTAATTTATAAAGAATTTCGCTTTCTGCAAATATGTGTATACCTGAAATTAGAACATATCACACGAGTAAAAGATCTAGCGGTCAAAGAGCTAATAGGACTCATATAAAGTATGTTGGGCTTCAGTTCTCGTTTTTTTTTCTGAAAATGCAAAATTATAAAAATGGACTGTTGACAATTACATGATTACTTTTTCATTATCGATTGACTGTTGTATGTATCTATTTAGGTATTCTATATCTTGACGATAGCCATCTGAGTCTCGACGAATAAAGTGTGAGTGTGAAACATTCGCTTTGTTCCATTTTCTTAGTGTGTAAAAACACAAACTGATTTTTATAACGTAAATGCATATGAATAAAGCGCATTCGTGGCAAACCTACGCAACATATATATACATACATACACACATACATATATATACACACAATCTTATAGTAAAGTCTCTACAGAGAATACGCGCACTCATGGAGATAAACCCTTGCATCCGCAATTGTGTAGTTTGCAGCAATCGACAAAGTTACATATATTGTATAAACATAAAATAGGATATAGCGTAAAGAATATGATTAGAAATTGTATCTAAATTTTTCTGGCTAACGTTATTACGTATGCAATTGAAACTGAGTTAATTTCGCGCTAATTGTATATATACGCGACAAACATTCTACTAGTATACGAGGTTTGTCCCAAAAATACGTATAATTGTTTTTTTATAATTTTATTTGACAATCAATCAAGTAAATTGAATTTGGCCCCCTCAAAATACTTTCCTCCTGATGCAACGCACTTGCTCCAACGCCGTTTCCACTGCTGAAAACAGCCTTGAAAGTCCTCCACTTTGAGGCTCTTCAGTTGCCTCGTCGTCGCTGTCTTGATGGCCTCCACGTCCCCCAAATGCCGCCCCCGAAGCAACATTTTGCATTTGGGGAACAAGAAGAAGTCACACGGTGCCAAATCGGGTGAATATGGCGGATGGTCGGTGACGGTAATTGAGGCCCTTGCCAAAAACTCGCGTACAACCAAGGACGTGTGGGAAGGCGCATTGTCATGGTGGAGAATCTAACGTCCATCTCGAGCCAAATCTGGGCGGACACGAGGTCAGACAGTGAACGGAAATTTCTACGTCGAGGTCCTCAAGCGCCTCCGAGCGCACGTGGCTCGTGTTCGCCCAAACATGGCACGAGATGGGCATTGGATTCTCCACTACAACAATGCGCCTTCCCACACGTCCTTGGTTGTGGTCAAGTTTTTAGCACGGGCCTCAATTACCGTCACCGACCATCCGCCATATTCACCCGATTTGGCACCGTGTGACTTCTTCTTGTTCCCCAAATGCAAAATGTTGCTTCGGGGGCGGCATTTGGGGGACGTGGAGGCCATCAAGACAGCGACGACGAGGCAACTGAAGAGCCTCAAAGTGGAGGACTTTCAAGGCTGTTTTCAGCAGTGGAAACGGCGTTGGAGCAAGTGCGTTGCATCAGGGGGAAAGTATTTTGAGGGGGACAAATTCGATTTACTCGATTGATTGTCAAATAAAATTATAAAAAAACAATTATACGTATTTTTGGGACAAATCTCGTATGCGTTTACACAACAAAAAGTATCGCGCTGTACTACTAAAACATCAGTTTAAATTTTATTTTTCACATATAATGTCGCCTGCTTTGCTGTTCACAATGGTAAAATGTGGTTTGTTTTAAAAAAAAGTTAAATATTAAAATAAAAAGAGAGTTGAGTTTTGTACATGCAAGACCATTACTGAATTTTTTTCAATAAGCAGAGTTCTGAACAGAAGCATACAACTAGTAGGTCCACTCCGTGTTTCCTTTTACGTAGATTCCTTCTGCGTACCCGACATTGTTCTGAGCAGACCAATGAGAGAAAAGTTGTATGTGTGGTAGTGTGGCTTTAATAAGCACACACGCACACATACATCACTGGATCCTGTCTGAGTGCATGGCGGAATACCATGTGATAGGGACTGCAAAGATTAAAGAGACCGATAAAAAGTCGGACCTACTAGTTATACTATGGTAAGAGTGCTAATACGTGGTTGGAAAATGATTAGTTAGTTTAAGAAAATGACTCCTTGCACTCTTGCGAAATTTTATATATAAAATCTGCGTAATGTTCAGAACAAATTACTTTGCTATTGAATAACTTGGAAAATTCAGGAGCGATTGGCTCTTTTTAGGCAATTAGTTTGTTCCAATATGCAATGAAAAATGACGAAGAAATAGTCATAACATTACATTCTGTTTGACATCGATGGTTGACTAAATGACTAAATAATAAATATAAATAAATATGTAATTAATGAGAGGATATATATTATCGATTTAACACAGTAGTGATGTTAAAATAACGTTGATACAACCTGGAATTGTTTTTAAGCGAAAACAATATTATAAATTTTCTTAAAACACTAACTCTTTACGTTCCTGATACTTTTCAGTGTGTCAACAATAAGCAGTGATATTTGTGTTTATTATACGAAGTAAAGTGGAGGATTTTCCGTTTGTTATGTATAATATATAAAAATACCAGAATTTAAACGATGTTTATACATGTTTTCTAGCAAATAATAGACTGTAAATTTATTAGTAGAGTACTATGGGATATATTTATTCGCCAATAAAGAAAGAGATCTAATATAATGTGAGATACAAACGCGTTGTTTTTATCCAACACTTTTTTATTAGTATGTCATATCGGTAAAACAGCAAATGCGATTATGCGAAAATATAATTATATTCCCATTTTTCTTCGATAGATCCACGGTTAGCCTGTTTTGTATTGGTAAAGGTGAATAAAAATGTAATATAACAGTGCGAAGTATAAAACCAATACATTTCGATGGTAGAGTACGAAGCCTGAGACATAATGGGATGATAATCAATTACAAAACTTAGTTTCTAATCGCATGTTTGTAATGATACAACATTCTCAAATATCTTAAATTTCGTACGTCTCACCATTAACTAGGTATCGTGTACTGTGTCGTCCAAATTTTACGTTTACGTTTTTTTTTGTTTTTTTCGTCTTCAATGTCCACATTATTATATTTATTGCAGGTCAGGCAAATTCACTAAATGGCCACATTGATTTTTTGATCTATGTACACGATGTGAATTGTTTAAAATTCAGGATTTAAAAGTCTCCTAAGGTAAAACATGTATGTATATATTCGCGTGCGTATATGATGAAGCTGTCTGGTTTAAAATAACTGGATAAGTTGAAAGGGAAGCTAAAATATCTCTTGACTATTACAATATCAAAAGATGTTTACAAGTGTAAAACTTTCTCGTGTAAAATTGTATACATTGATTTACATTATATACATAAATATACACACGTAACCGCAATAAAAAAATAGATTATATGTTATGCATTGTGGCTGTATGCTGTAAACTCACTATTACACTATTTTTGTATAAAACACAGGTCGACGATTCGCCCGACGACCAATGTAGCACTAATTAAAATACAACTTATGCTTATTCAACTTACTATACTTTATCGTATTATAACAGCGTCAACTTTTTTAATTTACATTCTTCACTGTACTAAGATAAATTTGTAACTATTACAATCGAAATTGCATATGCAGAGTGATTTTGTTCGCTCTTTTTCTTCTAAAAAAAAAATGCGATACTGCAATGGTTCATAATAAAACTCATATTGTGATATTGAAACTTGATTGGCTAATCGCTTTTACTTGACAAACGTTTACTCGTTTGTTACGTGATTCGATGATTCAGTTTTCATGGAATCGATTGGTTCTGATATGACGATATCGGCCTGCTCCGTTTCCTTGTGCAGAGCTATAATGATTTTTTGCTCAGTGGAAGACTGGCTGTCCGACGAGCCTTCCTGCGTTGATGTGGCAGCTTCCTAAAATTTAGGAAGTAGGTAATAGTGCATCGTGTACGATCGATTTCTTGCGAGCACTTACCGTGCTTCGTATCTTCGTATGTGTTTTGATGTGTTTCGTTAGGTGGTCCGATCGCATAAATTTCTTTGTACATTCCGGACATTGGAAACGCTTTTCACCTGTGTGGGTTCTGCGGTGCCTTTGAAGCTCGTCGGATCTGGTGAACTTTTTACCGCAAAATATCCAAGTGCAAATAAAAGGTCGTTCGCCAGTGTGCCAGCGTAAATGGGCACGCAAATGGCTCGTTTTCCCATATACTTTATTGCATCCGGCAATGTGACATACGTGCTGTCGTTTCCTGGTTATATCTCTATTTCTGTAGAAGAAATATGGATATCAATGTACACATGCATGACCATTTTGCATTAGCTTCATAAATAAATATTCGTTTAACACGATTGAAAGAAGTGATCAATCACCTGTCTCCGTCGCCGCAATTGGGACATGTACATGCGACTCTTCTGCGGTGCTGCTTATTGGGATCATTAGTGTCATTATTGGAGACTGTACTGGTCGTGTTTGATATTTGCTGTTGATGGGACACAGGTGCAGCAGACGTTGTCAAAGTTCCGTGTGATTGTAGAGTTTGGAGAATCTGCCATTTGGTGGGATCATTCGAGTCTAGTTGCACAGTTGGAGTAGTCGTGACGATGGGCGTGGCCGCCGTAGCCGGAAGCGTTTGGACAGTAGCCGGCTGTAGTGCACTCGCTGGTATTACTTGTATATTGCCTAGGCCTGGGATATTTTGCACAGGTATCGATTGTATGAAGCCGTTGGTCGTGTTCATTCCAGTGGCTGGCTGAATCTGCATTATATTTCCGTTGCCCACGTTCCTCATCATGTTACCTTGCTGCGCGGTTAAATTTGCTAACGCGGACGCAGGTATGAGCGTTAACTGTTGCCCTTGCGCTCCTGTAGAAGATTAACCATTGCTTGCAAAATTATAAATTATAATGACAAGATTTAGTAAAAGATATAAAATGTACAAGTTTCATCATTTGTCAATACATTTATCGATACCGTACATAACAGTTACCTGTGATAGTAATCGGTTGCACTGTAGGCTGGGCCGATTGTGTAGCAGGGATATGTATCACTTGTCCACTAGTTAATTGACTGGCATCGATATTAGTTACTTTGATGTCACCTTCTACCGTTTCGGGCGGCCTTGTTAAAGTAGATAATGTTTGCACGTCAATCTTCTGGCCATCCTTTGTGGTAATAACATTAGTACCTCCCGTCAAGTTTCTTCCTAGTGCACCTATGCCAAGTACCTGAAAGAAATGTATGTATAATTTAGAATGATTGTTCATACGTTAATACGTTAATGCTACAATTTCCAAGTATATTACTTGAACATTGCTAGGAGATGCAACTGTTGTGCTCCATGTCGCTACTGTCGACGATGGAGTGGAGGACTGTTGCAACTGCTGCTGTTGCTGCTGCTGTTGCGACGACTGCTGCTGCTGAGACGGTGGCGGCTGCTGTTGTTGTATCACCTGCTGCACCACTTGTTGCACTTGTTGCTGCTGTTGTACTTGAGCTTGGGCAACTTGTTGTTGCTGTTGCACAGATTGTACGACCTGCTGTTGAGTTTGTTGTTGCGCTTGTTGATGGGCAACCTGCGTAACTTGTTGGCTCTGTAATGACACGTTTATTTAATAAAATCATGCAATAATTTATCGTCGAAAGGATGCGACTCTTTGTGAGAACGGTCGTTTTCTGGTCAACTGGTTTTGGATTCCGATGTAAATCTGATATTTACCTGAAGATTTTGTAACTGCGGTAAACTAGCAATCTGCACTTGCTGGATCTGACCGCTCGGTGTGATTATTTGTGCCACTTGAGGTATTTGCTAGAATTAAAATGATCAGAATGTACATTTCGTCGGCACTACAACTTACAATATTTATTGGTATACAGAAATTATCGATTGTTACATCGTGCTGATTATATCGAATAACTTACTTGCATAATTTGAGGTATCATTTGCGTCGCGGGCATATTGAAAACATTGGACAAGGATTGGACAGGAAGATGTAAAGTTTGATAAACAGTTTGCCCATTGGTGTTGACTGGCAATTGTACAGGTAGCGCTTGCTGAACATGTTGCATAGGAAATTGAAGCGGTCTTACTTGTACACTTTGTCCTGCAACATTATATTATACTTGCTTAGACATACTTATTGATGATAAAGGCATTTTAATTACAAAGATACGCAAATTGCACTGTATACATTATCGAAAGAACATGCATATTGCATACCTGTTGGCAATTGAACCGTCTGCCCCGTAATATTTTGTATAATCGAAGTGGGAAAGACACTTGGTGCTCTTATGAGACTAACTGGCTGTGGCGTGATAATAGTTTGGCCATTCGCTAGTTGAACCTGCTGGCCGGCGAGTTGCATTTGTTGACCATTTGCGGTAGTAAATTGCATTGTTGGCTGCGCCTGGTGATGGCCGCTCGCAGCCGACATTGCAGAGGATGGAATGAACAGAGCTTCCTGGCCATCTATACTAACAGTCTGCATTTGCGGAATTACGCTGTAGCTCAACTGCTGCTGTTGCTGCTGCTGTTGCGTTTGCTGCTGCTGGGCCTGCTGCTGCTGCTGCTGCGATTGTTGCTGGCTCTGTTGCTGCTGCTGCTGCTGTTGCTGCTGCTGCTGAAGAGCCGCTTGCGCCTGAGCACTGCTGATAATCTGAGCACCCTGCGCAACAAAGGGCGCGTTTATAAATGAATACCAAGTGAACGAATGGTGAATTTTTAAATTGTGCATAAGCTGTGTTTCTGATATAATTGTAACGGTAGTATTTTCGTTTCACATACTTGCAGGAATTGATGAGGTAGCGATTGGACAGAGATCGCTTGTGCTCTCTGTTGATCATGTTGCGGCTGTTGAGTTTGTAAAGGCACAAAGTTTTGCAGGGTGATAACTTGCGGTTGCTGCTGCTGCTGAGCCTGCTGGACATCTTGCTGCTGCTGCAGCTGCTGCAGCACATTGGCGCTTAGAAAACGAATCTGCGGCTGGGCAGTTTGCTGCTGTTGCTCTAGCTGCTGCTGATCCGTTTCATCCTGTTGCTGCTGCTGAGTTTGCAGAGGATCGTGCTCTTCGATTTCTTCCTACAAATAATTATTCCGTTTACTTTCTTGTCCTGCACAAATTTTCACAGCACAGTAGAGTATGTATTACATCGTGAGTTAATTGTTATCTATATAAACAGGACATTGAGTACACATGGAAAATATTGTCAATTTCAAGACGCAATGTTGAATGGCAAAGTACAAATGCTGGCTAATAATTAAGTATCTCACCTGCGAAAGATTTCTTCCATCTATACTACGTTTCATGATGAATAATTCCGTTTTGCACGGCGCAACTTATAACAATGGATTTAACACAATTTCGTGCCGAGTATGCCAGGAATCCATGACGAAACAAGTATAACCATGTTGACAATTTTACTGAAGTCGCAAGGAATTGTCCCAAAAAATGGCAGTCCTGCAAGGACACGTTTTTAGAAGAACTCATTATATAACCTATACAATAGTTCGTATTAGGAAATTGTAGCCGTTAGAATTGAGATAATTGAATAAAAGAGATGCGAAAAATACGTTGGATTCGGGAAGATCGGACAATCGTTGCTTGCGCAAACATTGTCGCACGTTACTTGGGAAGATGAAGCGGGGGGAAGGCGAGGGAATACATTCGGTGCTAATTACACTTGTATTCCATGCGGCGCAATCCTCCAAGGGACATCCTTAAAACGTTCTATGTCCAGGCGCCCCTTGGAGGCTTGTGCTACATGGAACGTCGCATGTGTACGATTTCACCAAGTTCAAATGCAACAAAATGTTGTCTCAAATTGGGAACATAGTAAACACATGGTAAAACCGCCAAATCGGTCAGAGAACTGGGCTTTAACAGGGGGAAGGGCGGGGGGCGGGGAAGCTGAAAGAGAGAGAGAGGAGAGGAGCGGGTTTTCATCTCTGTGGAGTCGCGGTTTGCAAATGTTGGAGCGTGTGGACATCGGAGCTTCGGGCCGCGGCGTGCGCGAAAGACGCCAAACGCCGAACTCTCTCTCTCTTGCTCCCCCTCTCACTGTCTCTCTCTCCCCAACGAGGGAACAAAGAAGGCCGTCACGAGCGACGGGCATCCGCCTCGAGAACCCGATCGAGGACCGCCTCCTTACGCCCCTGTTTCCCCACCGCCCCACCCGATTCATAACGAGGCACGCGCACGAGGGCCGACGCGACGGCAAGGTGAGCCTCGTGTCGTCACGCCGCCCACTCGCCCGTCCGCCGCTCGTTCGCGCTCTCGCGGCGGCGCCCGCGATAACGGGGAAGGCAGCCTCGCGATGCCCAGCCTCCACCCACTTCGCACACGGGACTCCACCTAACAAACACGTGTTATCCTCGCGGAGGGTATCACTCACGCTGCCAACGCTAAACGCCACACTCCACAGTCCGACGCCAGGTGCCCAGCGTCACCACACCGACATCACCGTTGCTATTCGTCAACGCCGACGCGTTCCTCCCGTCGCTGGCCCCCGATACCTTCCGTAGGTTATGCGAGTACGCGAAAACATGCGTCGGACGCCCCCGACGCCGCGCTTACAAAGGGAGGTCGACTCGGAGAGTGCAGTTCCACCCACGTATCGTCGTGCGCGACGACGGTGCGGGCAATCGCAGCGGCATCCTCCAGGGAAGCCCGTCACCCTCCTCTTCCGTCTCTCTTTTACAGAAATGACCTCGCGATTCCTGATCGGGCGCGATCCGGCTGTGGCTCTAACAATAAGCCCCGACGTCTCGTAAGGGCAAGTTACACCACCGATGCGGCGAGTGGCTGTCCTCCCCTCATCCTCGCGTCTGCATTACCGCGTAACTGCGGCGAGTTATCGCGCGCGCGCACGCACACACACATCCGCACACGTGCCACGCGACGCCGTTGCTCCGCGCGGTAATGTAGCGACGCTACGCGTTGCGTCCCGCGGTCCGCGGAACGTTATCGGGGTGCGTCGGAGCGGGAGCCCGCGCGGGACGATCGCCAGTGATCCAGTGTCCCGACGGACAGCACCACCACCGCCGACGCCGACGCCGCCGCCGCCGCCACCGTCGCGTCGCCGAGTACGCGGAGGACTACGGCGGAAGAGATGTGTGCTACCGTGAGAGCGGAGCGGGACCCGTTCCGCACACGCGACTTGTCGAACGTGTCCACGGCGGCAAAGCACGTGCAAGCGTGACACACGCCCACCGCGGCCCGTTTAATCGTCTCTATCCGCGCTCGTGGAAACCGCACGAGAAACGAATACCAACAAATATCGCCCTAACGGGGGCTAGGACCAAGCGGAGAGCCACAAACGCACGTATTCACAGTCGCGGGGCCAATGGGCGGTGCACGGGATGGCAACGTCGCCGTCACGCTCGCCGCGATGGCACGAGCTCGCCGATTGGTCGGCAGTTGTACGCGCGACTGCTCGCCGCCGCCGCCGGCCAATCGGACCGCCCGGCAGCTCGCCGGGGCGTCGTTCGACAGGGGCGTACGCGGGAACGCTCCCGCGGACGCCCACCCTATTAAAGGGGGCTAAACCACGCGTACCTCCTACTTTCTCTAGTCTTTCGCTTCCTCCCACCTTTCACCTAGCATTTACCGACCGCGAGACGCGAGAGCGATCGCTCGCACAGCACGTGCCGCGAGCGCGGGTCGCGCCCAGGACTTTTCGTCGATCGTCCTTCGCGATCGCGTCGATTGTCTCCGCGCCACTTACTTTCAGGAAAGTCACACGGGAGAGAAAATGTTCCCTCGTCGGGCGACTAGGGGCCTTGTTATTCGCAAAAAAATATATCGCATACACTTCATAAATGTCACTAGAATATTAAGTAGTCTAGTGACTTGGTGAAATTTGCCAATTTTCGAGAAAGCTCCCTCTTACTCTCTTGTGCACTTTCGATCTCGAATTTATGTATAACGTCGACTCCCAAAATCAATTTAAATTCTTCCCGCTCAACGACACCGTAATGATTAAAAAAAAACCGGCGGAAAACTTTCCTCGCAGTTATTTCAAATATACATCAAGATGTACATCGAGTTTGCGATATAATTTGTAGCACGTTACCAATATTCGATAAAAAATTGGAGAAACAGTACTACAAATTACTCGTTTGCCACTGGCTTTATTGATACAATGACGATGACGTGAATTACAAGACGATGCGCTTGTCGCTGTATGTCATATTACAGCGATAAATTGGGTGATTTCTCACGATATACCCGTAGTTTGTACAATCTTAGCGTACGTTAGTGATGATACAAAGACAGTAGTGTATTTCTATACACTATAGTTGACAGAGAATTTCTTTAAAATGACGTAGTCGAAGTTAGATTAGATGATTTCTCATGATATATCCGTAGTTTGTACAATCTTAACGTACGTTAGTAATGATACAAAGACAGTAGTGTATTCTTGTACACTATAGTTGACAGAGAGCTTCTTTGAAATGACGTACTCGAAATACACCTTACAGAGTAACGCTATATTCACAATTCTTTTGCGGAAGATAAACGTTTAGTGCGGACGAGAAGGGCAATTGCTCCGAGTTAAGTAATACATAATGTACAATTGTAATGCTATAAATACTATAAATGTGACAATTTAGGATAGTAAAATTTCAAGTTTTGTATTCTATTCCCATTGGGAATAGAATACAATTACAGCTATGGTACATCAGCATTGGCTGTATATACAAATAGGAAGAATGCGGATGCGCTGCATTTTGTACACAATAAAGATGTTGCATACAATACACGCACGTGAAACGAAGAGAGAAATCCTGCGAGAAAATGAAAATCTCCTTGACGTTGGTTACATGTCGATAAAAATCTGCACGATGAACGTGCGTAAAAAAAGAACTCGTGTTGCGAGTCACAAGATGCTCACGCAGAAATTCAGGATGTATGTAGAAAGTATTTAGAAACGATGTTCTGCTAATACTCTAATGATCTATATATTTAGTTGCGGATTCTTACACTATGTGTTACTTGCTCGAGATCTAACTGAGAAATGAAGACGAGCGGCGGAAGACAGCGAAACGATCTTTGACCGATCGTAACCGATACAAATGTTCGTTTACCAAAGTCAAGCGAATATGAAAATACCGTTATACATATATATATACCGGTGTTAAATAAGATTTAACACAAGGTATGAAACATTTATGGACCGATATAGTTCTTTGCGATATTGTACGCAACAGAGTTTTATTTCGCAGGATTTGATTCTCTCGTTTCGATGATACATCTGTGAATAAACTCGTAATCTTTAATAAACACGAAAAGAAAACTTGTCAACTTAAATAAAAGATTAAAATATTCCGCAGGGATAAAATTTTTTATAATCCTCCACCTGATCTCTCGACGCTTATTTGTTTCTTGAGTGTCTCCTTCTCGTGTTGCGCCTCTTCCATTTCAGCCATTCGCGCGAAACGTGAATATGCCACATGACCAGACTTTATAGCTGACATCATCTGTATATAAAAATGATATATGTTTACACATACAAGTTTACGTAGCGAGAGAAAAAGTGGTTTATGCAAATAGATACATGTTAAAAGAATAAAAACACGATATAAAGTAAGCGGTTGCATAATAATAACGCATACGGTATAAATGCAAACGAAGAAAACAATGCAAACTTTGTACAGCAAATTGCTAGGTTCTCTCTATCAGTTTAAAAGTTATTATCACAGAGATTAGTCGTACGTAAAGTTAAAAAGCAGACAAAATCTAACTCTAAAAAAATCCATTGCACCGTCTCACTGCGCAAAGGACAACGAAAGTTAAAAAAGTGTCAGAACAGAAATCCGACTGTGACTGTGTGCACAATGCGCAATGTCACAGACCTGAAGGTATTCATCCAATTCGACTTGACCGTTCATATTGGTGTCGATTTCGCGCAGAATTTCGTGAAGTTCTTCACCCGGTACTTCCTTATCTCCAAAGAGCTGCGAAGAGAAAGAATGTGCGTTAAAAGTATACGTTTGATAAATTTACCTGCAAGTAGTCTTGCAATTCCATTTGGCCATGGTAAGTGACATCAATTTCACTCAACAAGCTGTGCATCTCGTCCTGGCTCATTTTTATACCTAACACCTGCGTATCGGCGATTAGTAGACAACGATCAAAGAAAGAGCAGGTAGAAACGATAAAAAAATGCCACGAAGAGATATCGAAATACATGTGCGAACCTTTAGCCCTCGCCTAATGTCATTGATAGACACGTATCCTTTTTTGTCCTTGTCTATAATGCGGAAGCGCTTGATGTAGAGTTGGATCTCCTCCTTGGTGAGATTGATGGGGATCTTGTCGCGGGAAGCGCGGTTCACCATCTGACCCATCTCTTGAGCGAGAAACTCGCTGGCCTCGCGATATTGCTTCTTTTTCTCATCCGCCGACCAATGTAACTCCTCGGCCATGATGTCTATGATGCCCGGCAATGCCTCCTGCGCCGCTTGGACGTTGAGAAAAGCGAGTCGCAATCGACGCGCGATCATATCGATCGCAGTTCTAGCGTACTCCCGCACACCGTAACGTATCTGAAACATATATTTAGAGTTCACGTTAGAAGAAGTTACGTTGATCGAAATTTATGCAATTCAGAGAGACGGTTACCTCAGCGTCGATGTACGGAAATTCCGGATGAATCTTCTTTCCGATGATAGGCCATCGTTTTCCCGTAAGCGAGGCCATCTTAGCGACCGCAAACGCACGATCTCCGTAGCTCTTGGACAAATGTTGCGCGACCTCGCATTCCAGGCCGAAATCCTGTACCAATCTAATGTACATCGTAGGGCTCCAGCCCTGAGCTCCTTCCAGAAGAAAGCCGTCGGTCTGGCAAGATCTTTCTGGTTGCAATTCGCAAGCTTGAAACGTACATCAATGAGTCTCTCTGACAACACTTTGCGTTATAAAAATAACACGAGCGCAAGAATATATAGAGCGGAAAAAACGAGACGCATACTTGAGCAGATTTTTAATGATCGCTCGATTAATTCTCCCGAGGTATATATACCTTCTATGGCCGCGTCAATAGTTTCTTGAGCCATCGCTCGGTAAGTCGTCCACTTGCCGCCCGCTATCGTGACGAGATTCGTAGGACTAACGTGCACGATATGATTCCTAGCGAGCGACTGCGTATTCGGTTTATTCGGATCGGAAACGAGCGGCCTAATGCCACTCCAGGCGGAGAGGACGTCTCCGCGGCGCACCTCAACGTCCGGGTTCAGGTAGTTTTTCACTTCCTGCAGAATGAACATGATCTCGTCCTCCGTGGGCCGAGGATTGTGCGTCACCTCGCAGGGCAAATCGGTCGTTCCTGCGATCGTCTGCTTCTGCCACGGCAAAAAGAAGATCACCCGGCCGTCACTCGTCGCTGGATCGAGTAGACCCATTTGGTCGGGACTAAAATTATCGCAACAAGCATCGGTATAACAAATTAAATAATAAACTTGAATGTTCTGGTCGCCAGCTGTAAAATTAAACAAAAATGCAAAGCCAATAGTCGACCGGACTGGCAAGATTTCGATAATTTATTTACGACGAATTAGGCTCGAAACGTCTATAACTATAAGCTTTGCATTTTTGAATTAAATAATGTGTTATTTAACATTGGCGATTCGTTGTTCTTTTTACCTGTAATATCCTGGCAGCACTATGTGAACGCCGGAAGACGGGCAGCAGATAGACGGGACACTTTGGTCGTCCATCTTCCTGATATGATCGGTGAAGGGGCCGGTCGCATTAATTATCGCCTTGGCCTTTACGTCCCACTCCTCTCCCGTGAGTTCGTCTTTAAGATGAGCTCCCACAAGGACTCGCTTCCCGTCCTTCTCGGCAAGGAAAGATACTTTTACTAAGTGTAATCATATATTATCTTCGAATATCTACGAATATCTGGCACCTACCCTGTCGAGACCTTTTAATAAATTGACTACTTTAACGTGATTTACGACCGTTGCCCCGTGTCTCGAAGCTGTTAGAGCAACCGCCAGATTCATCCTAGCATCATCTTGCTGGCCTGTACGATGCCAAATGGCGTGTTAAATCAAAATATTACGTAAAGTAGCTTGGCTATGCAAGAATCGTAAGAGAAAGGAAAAGAAAGTTAGCAAGGTGACTACCGTCATAATAGACAATAGCTCCCGTTAGTTTGTCGCCCTTCAGCATCGGGAAAAGTTCCAGAGCGTTCGATTTACTCAAGTAATACGACGACTTGACCGTTTTGCTACCCGCTACCAGATCGTACATCTTAATGCCGAACCAGTAATAGGGGATCTGCCACCATCTAACGAAAGTAATAAGACGTGTACGTGAAAGAGCACGTGCAGTATCGAGAGCCGACGTTTCGCTAGCGCGCAAACGTACGTGTAAACCGGCAGCATGATGGGCAACGGATGCGCCAGATGCGGCGCGCTTTCCAGCATCGACGCGCGTTCGTGGAGCGCCTCCTTCACCATTCTGTATTGCTCCACGTCCAGCTGCATGATCGCTTTCTGCAGGTATCGCACGCCACCGTGGATCAACTTGGTGCTCCGGGACGACGTGCCGGACGCAAAGTCGTCGGCTTCGACCAGCGCGGTCTTTAGGCCTTCGGGAAACGAACAAGCGGTAGACGAGGGTTCTTAGACTCTGCTCGAGCAAGCGAGAAAGGCAATGGTACCTCGTGTGCAGGCGTCCAAAGCGCATCCCGCCCCTGTCGCACCACCGCCGATTATCAGCACGTCGTAATCCTGCGACTTCAGGGTCTTCAATTGATCCTCCCGTGTCGGCAGGGTTCTCCGAGGCGGCCTTGGTTTCCCCTTGACCTCGGCGTGTACCTGCAATTGAGACACGAGTATATAGATACATGCATATGCGACTAATCGCATCAAATCGAATCTAATCGAGACACGCCGCATTACGTAACATAAAACAATAGTAAGTGGACCGTTCATGCGGGACTCTCCAAGGATCTCTTAGACGTTACGGCTGTCACGTTGCATACTGACCGTGTTATCTGACAAGAGGAAGTACGAAGTAAGAGTACCGGCGCCTATGGCGCTCGCTCCAGCCACCAACAACCTGAGCGACGCCATCGTCTATCAGCAGCCCCTCGATTTTCTCGAGAAAACCTGAAATCAAGAGACGAGGTGTGCAGGTTTTAAAAAGTACCAAAAATAACAGACCAAAACTTGGGGGGCTAAAGATTCGAGTGAACTGACAATTTCCCAGATAAACGAGCTGAACGCTGTTGTCAAATGCTTGTTACGTTAGATATTTGTCGGAGCAAGTCCTTGTGCCAAAACGTAAGAAGTTAACGAGCGAGGGGTAAACCGCTGACGAAGATCATGCACATCAATGCCTACTAATGCTCGGCGGGCATTACTTTATCTTATTTTATCTTTATAATGCCCCAGCGAGGTCTAATGTCCAAAAAACTGCCCAGTAATGCCGCAAATCTGTACACCGCAATGCCCTGAGCGGTTCACCCCTCGTTAACGAGGGAATAGTTTCATCTTGTTTGATTCTTCCGACACTCGTGTGTTCGGATCGATCTTTGCAAGAGGATGATAATAATAGACAACAACTCTAAAGCATAGGTGTGAAACGGCTGACGGTGAAAAGTACGGCGAAACAATGGACTGAAAGTGTATCCTAGGAGAGAGAGAGAGACCTGAGATACTTTGCACTTGAATGCGCTGTGCGCGCGGTCTAAAAATAATTTAAAGATTGTGCATCGGGTCGTGAAGTGTCTCTCGCGACACGCAAGGCCGAGGCACGTTATTATAATTATTGTCGCCAGCGCGGCGAGACTGGTGAACCGCTCGACGACCTTGATAAGAGGAGCCGAAACACGTGGGATTACGCAAGTGACAGTTCGGCGATTACACCCACGCGGGCGCGACCGACAAACGCGCGGTCATGTAATCGGCTCGTGCAACAGAGAATCCGGCTATCGACGGCTGGTCACCGTCTGGCGGGACGCTATCTCGATCTTCAAATCTCCCCGTCGAGGTGTGAATCACGTCTTGAAGAGAAAAACAAAAAGAACGGAAGAGAAAAATATCGGTATGATTCATGACACGAGATAGCAGGTGCTCCAGCAACGTACACATGGACATTGTTTTCTACTGCTGCACTTACTCTAACTTATTGCACTAGTTCATCAGTGTAGCAACGGAAAACAAGCCTATTGTGTAACACAATGAATCGTTTCATCTTTGTTACTTGCCACCGCCAGACAAGGCTGAAACGATTCTGTGTTACACTGTCTTTTGCTGGAGAGCACCCAGTGATTTTACATAAAAAGCCTCTTGCTACGGGAACTCGGAAGATCGATGGCAACCGAGCTCGCCGGCGTCCAGCTCGGCTGGGAGGGGGAGACTAGCTCTCGCCTCGAGATGCGGGAACACAATGCCGGGCGCGGTGTCGCAAGGTTGCGGCTAAAATAGCGCCCGCGAGGCTCGCCCGTGCCAAGTGCACACCGTAGTGTCATCACTGTACGCGCCTCATTACGCGTAACGCATTATTTATTACACGCGTTGCTCAATCACCGTCGTCCCCGAACTCGCCGAGGCCCTCGGCGACGTCGTCTCCAGGTCTTCTCCGTCGAGCGACACGCGAGTCAACCGTCTCGAGGAAACGAGTACTCGCTCGTCGAGTCACGCCGCTGGCCAGAGGTCGCGGAACGACTCCGCGGGGAACCGGAGCTCAAGTCGGAAGGCGGTTCTCCACGGTGCCGACAATACTCACCGCGAGCTAAAGGAACGCGACTCTCGTTCACGCCGAATCGAGGTAGCCGATCGACACTAGGACCTCGCCCGGCGCATTATCCTCCTGGCAGCCGCTAGACGCCCAGAAACGAACACTCGCGGCTGATGGCCGATGTCGACTGAGCGGCGACGGTGATTCGGAATACAGTGCGATCGCGTTCGTCACGCTTCCGACGCCGATCGGTAAACAATGTATCGACCGCAGATCTTCTCGCCAGTCTCTGCGTTAGCGATCTACGATCACGGCGACTCGAGTCGCGCAGATTAATTTTGAGACTCCGAGAACGATTACAACCAATTGTTTCTTAATTACTTCGACTTAAGATTCTAATTTGCACGCGTTATCAACTTATTAGGCCTGAAGCGTATCAAACTGCGGATTGAGATTGAGATTAGATTGAAATTTGACCAAAGTTTATTAATCTAAAGTTCAGTGACTTTCAGGCCGGTATTTATAGTCGGATCTTATATTCAAGACAGTCTTGAATTTATCTAAAGATGCTGTACGAAACATTTCGTTGCCTACGGAGTATCTAAAGATGATCCTGAGACAGTCTTGAATACAAGATCCGACTATGAATACTGACCTTACTCTAATTGGTCAAATTTTAATCTAATCTCAATCCGCAGTCTGATACGGGCGTAACAATCTTCTATGGTCAAGTCGCTACTACAAATGCTTCCAAGCGTCTCTTCTCCTATCTTTTCTGAAAGAAAGAATACTTTGAAACATTTGAAGCGACAGCTTCACCGCAGCCCATCTTACAAGATTGAAGATGACTCCGTCCAGACCCTGGTTAACTTAATTGAGGTGATTAATACGCCAATATCTCTATTAATATCGTATCAGTATTTTCTTGACCATACCTGGCATCTTTTAATAATACAGAAAATTTATTGGGAAAAATATTACCTCAGCCAGGGCTTGAACCTGGACTTCCCTACACTCTAGGCAGGCGTCACACCAATTCGACCACCGAGGCATACGATAATATTTGTCGCAATAACAGTATAAAGATGCTATCTACGCGTATATTTTCGACTTTTGTGAACTGCGCGCCGATAATATCTCTATTACTTGACAGATAGGATAAATTTCTGTATATAAAGAAAAATTTGTACAGTTGAGCATCTTGCTCGAAGTAATTTCAGCCGGTTGAATAAATCACCGTTTAAGTTAACTAGAGCCGGTGAAGCTAATTGGACTCGTAAGTCGCACAAGTACAAGTCACACGTTGAAACAAAATAATACTCTTTGTTATTTAACAGCAAATATCTGTACAAGTTAGGCACTCGCGTATGTTACGACTCATCATTCGTACAAAGGTTCATATACGTAAAGATCTTGTACGCTGGATGTGTTATATCGATCGAAAACTTAACTCTAGGGACATACATTGTCATGTATGGCTATAACGCCTGTAAAATATATATATATATATATATATATAATGGTATATATATATGTATAATAGTAAAACATGTAAACATAATACAAATGCAGAGAATGTACGATGAATGGATGTACAATAAATAGCAAAGATCATTGCAGAGAGTCAGGGGCACATGGCGTCGCTAAAATCTACTATTTACACAAGTTGTTATCAAAATATACGATCATTCATATTAAACGATATATTAGTCATCCTAGTGAAAAATATTTTCGTTAGAAGTACAACAACGTCACGTCGGAGGCTTCGTCGTCGGCAACCAAGTTCGAAGTTTCTAGACTTCGTCGGAAGCGAGCGTTTCCTTGCCGTCGGGAGAAGCCGACTTCTCTTTCCTCTCCTTCCTCTCCTCTTCCTTCATTTGAAGAGCGACCGCCGACTCCAGCACTCGTATCCTACCTTCGTGCTTCACGAGCACTGCCTTTAATTTTCTTATCTCTTCTCTGCATTCCTTCAACAATTCCTCCTGCAATCGTGGAGAGAGAGAGAAAGAGAGTTTAGTATAGTTTTCACACTCGCGACCCGGTCGAGAGGAGAAAACTGAATCCTCGACACATACGTAAACTCCTGGCGAAACCTCCGTGGCGTTTTGCGCGGTGTTGGACGCAACTTTGGCGCCTTTGCTCAATATATTGGATTTCTTTTGTACTTTAAGCTCGTTCTTAGAGACGGATGGCTGATAACCGTCCCTAAGGGATATCAGCACAGGTTCCGCATCCGTACCAGCCTGCCACTCTTCCGCCGAGATCGCGGCAGTGTCACCGGGAGTATCGGGATACAAGTCCTCTTGGAAGAGCTCAGACTGAAAGGTTGTACGTAGCGATCGTTAGGTACATTTCTCCCATTTGTCGATTTCTACTTAAAAACTCAAGTGACAACCCTCTTACCTTCCTCGGCACTGTCATTGATACTACTTGGCAAAAGCCCGAATTATTTAATCGATAGAATCTGGTTATTTCACAGCTATTAACGTCACAGCCCCGTTTTGGCATCATTCCTATACCTCGTTGAGGATCGGGAGTTTGAAAGGTATTAATGTAATGAACGAACGGCGGCTCGGGCGTAATTTCAAAGTATCGGATCACAGAATCGCCCTTGCCGCACAAGTATACTAAATTTGTATCTGGATCATACAGAGGGAACATAACTCCGTTGCTCGTATCTAATTCTACCATAACTATGGGCTCGCCCAGCATGTCGGGGGCTCGTAATGAGTATTGCCTCTCCGACATCTTACTAAAACCCGTCGTGAAGATCAGGCCACCCCTGAAAATATAATACAAGTTACTTCGATCAAATGGGCACAATCATCAACATTTCACCAATATCTAGTGGCAGTAGCCTTTTGTTATCTAGCATGTTAATCTTTTTACATACATATACATATATAGATATATACAATATATACACATATTGTGGTAAAAATATATATTTACATTGCATCACTTTCGTAATATCTTACTATCATGTTTTTACACACAGAAATTAATCATCAAAACTTTTTTACTACATCCACCTTGTTACATAGAGCTAATATCTTTCACGAACGTTGCCTTACCACAAACAATTAAGACACATATTGTATTATAAAAATATATCACAATTACAATACACAAAACGTATCAAACACTTGCTTGCATAAACTTTTGTGCAAGTACAGATCTTGTCGAATCCTACAAGTGTAAACGACAATTACGATAATATTGTTTTGCAAAGGTGTCTCTAATCCGAAACAGATACTCGTTATTACAACTTACATAATTATTTAAACATTCTAGTATTTACAATTACATTTTGAATTAATAACTTGGTGCACAATACTTACTGCAATATCTATGAAGAATTACAGAGCACACACGTCTTGACATTCGTATATATTAAGTTGGGCATCTTCGTCATGTCGAAAATTCAGTCTGGCGGTCTTTCCATAAAAAATTACAGAATCTTGCACTACACAAATCGGAAATACAAGATGATAAAAACAAGTGTACCTTTAAGTATGCAGCAACATGTTTGTCTTATAAAACACTCGCGGAGAGAGGCACGAGAAGTGCTATGTAGATGTCGACGCAAATATATTATAGTCACGTCAAGTTATTAGTCGAAAATGGTAACACAAAGAGAAGATGGGAGAGGGGCAACAGTGTGGAAAGGAAGAGCTCCAATGTGGCTATATCTAAGAATCATCTCTAAACGATTTCTACCAATACATAGATTGTAATGAATCATTACATATACAATATATTTGTGTAAAAAGGTGGATGTATACCATTTGATGATTATGTTTTTACATTTGTTCTCTTACGAACAAATCTTTAATCAAATTCAAGTACCTAATACACAAGAAAAGTAAAGAAGACTGTACAATATTATTCACGCATCCTTTTCGTTTGGTATTTATTTACATCCACACTCTCTCATGCAAATTCACTCGTTAGTTTAATGCACTCTTCCTCTTATAAAATCATAGCCATAAAAATTGGTTATTTTGATACTCAAGTCTCGGCAATGTAGCATTCTGAATTATATATGTGAAGACGTTAGAGAAATCGTGGAAAAATAGTTTATCGTGTTAATGATGCAGTTGTATTAAATGTCTCGCGATCAGAAAGGGAAGAGAATCAAATATTTCAGAATTTGATATTCAAGTACGTTTATAGTAAAACGAATGATGTAGCAAAATCTGTTCGGGCGACGTGTTTGTGAAATGAGGCTGACGCAACGGGGAATGCACATCTTTGGAGAAACTTTAAACAGCATCTGCCAATATTCGTTCCAATATCCGACGAATTGGAGTTTAGTCTTGAAATATTCGCCTTTCGAAATACATTCATCTCTTCCTTTCTCCTCGTTGCGTCAATCTGACTTTTTTCATACGATGTGTAAATACATGTGCATAATACGTAGCGATGAAAAAGAAGCGACAAAACGCTGAAGAACAATGTGCGGTACAAGGAGTACATACCTAAGAAAGATGGCACGGGTCGCCTTGCTTCCCTCGTGTGCTATTGCTTCCTCTAATATCTCGCCAGACCTCGGGTCCAGGATTCTAATCTTTTTATCCTTGCACGTAGTGACTAATCGGGAACCGTCCCAGTTCCAGCACGCGGAATAGACCACGTCTGGATGGCAGTCGAAGCGCATCAGGGCCTCCCCCGTGCCGACGTTCCAAATGATAACGAGATTGTCCGAGCCGGCTGTGAGCAGCACATTTAACGCGGAGGGATGCCACAGCACCAGACCGACCCTGCGCTGATGCAGCTGCAGATCGACTATCGAGTCGGTCAACGTCCTGGAGATGCCCCCGTCGGGTATCTGCCATACTTTGACGACGCAGTCCTCGGAGCCGGAAGCTATGACATTGTCGTTGTGCGGGCACCACGCAATATCCAACACAGGTCCCTTGTGTCCACCTACCAGTGGATAGTCCGCTGGTATTCTTCCTACCTGCAAGTGTTCCGCAATGGATATTAGCCCGCCAGTACTCACAGTTAGGGGCAACAAACTCGGAGTGGACGTCGCAAACTGTCATTTGGTTTCAAGCTGTGCCATTACTACCGTACCATTGTGATAATATATACGCGCGTGACACGCATCGCATCCAATCCAGTGCCGCGTGGCCAATGAACCGGGAGAGACTCGGCGGCGGAATTAGGGCAGGCAGAAATGCGAAAAAACGAGGGGAAGGAAAGGAAAACACGGAGAGCCCAACCTTATTGTGCGGCAGGACGATGAAGGCACCGCCACCCGCCGACTCCACGATGATGGCGAGGAACTTGGGGTTGACGGCGCAGAACGTCGAGTCCCACGATGACTTGGACACCCTGATGTTGTCGTAGCATTGCTCGCGCTTCAGGGGAGTTCCGTACACGTGGCGGAACTTGCTGGTGCGCACCACGCGGAAAGACATATCTGCACCTGCTCTGCAATCACCAAGCGGATCGGACGGTGAGACGAGGCGGCGCGGCGCGGCTCCCCGACGTGCGCGCCGGTCCTTCTGTCGCGATT